TGATAGTATTTGTCAGATTCTTAAAGAACAACCTGAAGTGGAACATTTCCAAAAAGAGTCGATGATAATGAATGATACCGTAGAACACGTATTACCAACACAACATTTTCCTTTTTCTTTGCTTTTTCCAAAATCCAAGATGCTGACCTATCGAATAATTGTACATTTGGATGAAAACGAAGTGATGAAATGGAGATTAAGTGACAGTAAGGAATGCAAGAACGGTGAACATGTCAATCCTAAAATAAGACTGATGCGGTTGCTACATGCTCGTAACTTGGAGTGTACCGTCGTGAGTGGGAATACAAGCAAGGAGGCTCATCATTCGCAACTAAGAAAGAGGTTGGAGATGGAAGCAAACAAGTTGTTGTTGCGATGCATTGTTTCAGCCATTTTCACTATTCCTATTATGATATTTAGTTTTGGTCTCGCGAATCATGTTCGTGGCGTCAATACACGTTTAGGAAAGTCACAAATAACTGTAGCATATTTAGTAGAATGGATATTGGCAACCTTTATTCAGTTGATTGGAGGATATCCTTTCTATCGAGGAAGTTATTTCGCTATTTTTCGAAGTCATCGACCCAATATGGACGTATTAATAGCTTTGGCGACATCAACTATCTATGTCTACTCAGTTGCATCTCTCATCTATTACTCGATTGTGGATCAACCCGGTCGTGATATAGACTTCGATTCCAGTTCGATGTTAATTACTATCATAACATTTGGTAAATGGTTGGAAGCTATTGCAAAGAAGAACGCTGCAAAGGGTTTTGAAATGTTTGATGAACTCGCTCCTAAACAAGTTACTGTTGTTTTCAAGGACGAGAAAGAAGACTTCGTAGAGGCCGAAGTCGTCAATCCGGAGCTTGTTATGGTTGGTGACATTATCAAAGTATTGCCTGGAGAGCGTTTTGCAGTGGATGGAATAGTAGAGGCAGGAGAAAGCAGTGTAGACGAGTCGGTATGTTTTACGTTCTACCTATGATATGTTTCCATAACGTACAATAACTGAATAGACAATTACTGGAGAGTCATTGCCAGTTCATAAGAAGTCAGGAGATTCCGTTTTTAGTGGAACCTCCAATGGAAATAGTATTCTTTATGTTAGAACAACTGCAAGTGGTTCACAAAACACCGTGTCACAAATACTTGAGTTGGTAGAAAATGCTCAAAATTCGCATGCTCCCATTGAGAGTATAGCCGATACAATATCTGCGTATTTTGTTATTTGGATTGTCTTAATCGCCATCCTTGTATATCTTATATGGGTAATACTTATTGAGAAAAGGTATGTTATATGTAGAATAAGACTAGTTACGATACTGACCTATAATTAGAGTTGTCCCCGATACTTGGTATGACCATCAGAGTCCTATTATTTTTAGTTTGGTCTTTTCGGTATCTGTAGTTGCAGTGGCGTGTCCATGTGCATTGGGATTAGCCACTCCTTCAGCATTTATGACAGCGTCTAGTGTTGCAGTTCGATTTGGAATATTATTAAAGGAAAGTGCAGCAGTCCAGTATTTATATAATGCAGCATGCGTTGTTTTCGATAAAACAGGAACCTTGACGCGTGGATTCCCGAAAGTCTTGCAAGTTCAACAACTGAACATATTTGCAGGTCTCAACCAGGACAAGATAGTGAGTCTCATAGCACAGGTAGAGAGCCATTCGGATCATCCTTATGCAAATGCTATCGTTCGTTATGCTGAGGAAGAAAGAGGTTTAGAGGTTTCGAAGCAAGTCCAGTCTTTTGAAGAGAAACCTGGATGTGGTGTAGAGTCTGTTATTGAAAGTCATGAAATATTTGTAGGAAGTTGGAATTGGATAAAATCGAAATGTAGCTCATCACAAGGTGGAAAGGAAGATGACTTGTTAAACCATCAACAACGACAACTCCTAAATGAGTGGATGGAAGATGGAAGCAGCGTCGTAGTTGCAGCGATAGATAACGTTCCTTGCATTGCATTTCGAGTACACGATGAATTGAGACCTGAAGCAAAACAAGTCGTTGCCTTTTTTCGAGAAAAGAAGAAAATGGAATGCTGGTTAGTAACTGGCGATAATGAGAACACCGCATTTTCCGTAGCGAAAGCTGTTGGTATCCCAGTAGAAAAGGTTGTTTCTCAAGCATTGCCTGGGGATAAAGTTAAAATATTAGAAAGCTCTATAGAGAAATATAGAAATGTCTCTGGAAAGTATTCCTTTTTCAAACCTCGCGTGGTTTTTGTCGGAGATGGAGTGAACGATGGTCCTGCATTAGCAATGGCAGATGTCGGTATTGCTATGGGCTCCAAGAATCAGCTGGCAGCAGGAGCAGCTCGTGCTATTGTGATGAATGATAATCTTCATGGACTTGTTACTCTTTTTGACCTCTCTAGAGTCACTTTTCGCAGAATTCTTCTCAACTATTTTTGGGCATTGGTTTATAATGTTGTCTTTGTTCCAGGTGCTGCTGGAGCAATGTTTCCTCTTATTCGACAGCAAATGCCTCCTTGGTTTGCTGCCATTTTAATGGCTTCTAGTTCTCTCAGTGTATCTTTGTCTTCACTTTTGTTAAGGTTCTACCGACCTTTGAGAAACATATAAAGGTTGAATTTGCGATTCTACGTTGGGATAAAGAATTGGTCTCTTTTGTGATCGATCGTCATAATGGTACACTCTATGGAGGTCAAGAAAAACAAGTATATAGAGCAGTGGGCTTCTTATAGAGAGAACTCGGAATATTTCTACAAGTGGACCCCCAAACGTATAGTAGGAATAGGCCTCTTAGTAGGAGTAATTCCTTATTATCTGTATCGCTACATTGTGTATACAGTTGTAAGTGGAACAGTGAGTTGTTTGGGACTTTTCCAACTCTCTTTTATTAGGAAAATCAATATCCACAATATGGAGCTGCAGAATATGGTTTGTTGGGAGGCTCTCCACCACAATATTCAAAGCAGGAAGAGACAGAAAAGTAGCCTCAACAAAGCTATACAACAGAAATTGACCTTTAGCCAATGCCATCTTACGGTTCATAAAGTCGTTTACTGTTATGTTAATCAACTCTACCATTTGATATTATTTGAGCCGTTTACAACAAATGTATAACTCAAGGGTGTATGCTCAAGAAGGTAACAGAATACTTTCTTGTTTGCTATATTCTTTGGCAGTTTCGCTTTTCACTTGCATATTTTCCGTAACTTGAGGAGTCATCGTTTTCTCCAAGCGTTTTGGAACCGGTGGAAACATAGCCGTTTCTAGCTGTTCTAGTTCTTCTTCACAGCTCTCATCAATCTCCATAAGAGAGAAGCTACCAAGGACTTCAGTGACTTTGTTTTGAAACTCTATAGCCTCTTTTGTTTCCTCAAGAAGGTGTTCAATTTCTTCAATCGATAAGGTCTTTTGAATACTTTGTAATAACTTTGTTCCCGTCCGTAACTTGAGCACATAGTCCGTTTCAATTTGTTTCAACTCTATTTCACTCAAAACTTGTTCCAAGTTGAAACGCATATTTTGAGCTTTCTCTATACTTTTTTGCAACGCGTGTTTTACTTGCAAAACAACTAAAGCTTGCTGACGCTGATTTTCAGCAACCAAACGACGAGCAAGCTTACGACTCTAGTCAGTTTCTTGAAAAGTACAAAAAGTGTTCGTACCTTTATATAGTTCTTCAAAGAGTCACTAAGACGTTGTTCATACTGCTGCAAACTATCACGCTGTATTTTCAAGTCCAAGAGTTCTCTATCAAAAGATGATACGTTTGTCTTAACAACATGTTGTCGTGAAAATCCACAACCCATTCAATATCTATGACGTGTGTCCTCATAACTCTAGAAAGGATATTGTGAAAATGAACTCTATATATGTTACTCAGCAGTATTTTTTTTTGAAAAAGATATGAATAATATTGTAGCAAGAAGATGAACGATCATCGTTTGAGATTCTCAATCGATAATAAACTTTATACATTTTAGAAACCATACTTCAAAAACAATGTAAAGTCTCTAGAGTCATCTACTATTAACAAATGAAAAACTTTGCTTAGAATCCTAAAAAAGAAGTCTTCTAAATCTCTTTCAATATTTCTCTTTTTTTGCACTCTATTTTTGTACATGAGAATGGAAAATTTTACTGCCGCCGGGAATCGAACCCGGGTCTCCAGCTTGGAAGGCTGGAATGATAACCTTTACACCACGGCAGTCGTTTTCAACAATGTAAATTTTTCACTCTTTTCAGCTTCTCGTTATTAGCTAGCAGTGAGGGCAAGTTTCTCTCTATAAATCCATATGCTTCTTCGGATCATATAAATCACTACATATGTGATTCTCTTTCTGTCGTCATTTCTGTTCGGCCAAGTCATGTAAAATGTCGATATCTTTTGTTTTTGAACGCCCGACGACCAATTAATTGTTGGTAATAGAAAAATAGAAACAGGGGCAGCAACATTTCTTTATAACCAAAAAATAATAGGTACCACTATTCGAACAAATGTATTTACATCAGAGTAACACTTTATGAGCCACTTCAAAAGCTCCAACAAGCAACTAGTCTATCCTACACTCGTTACACTAGGTAAGGTACCACTTGGAAGTCGTCATCGTGCATCTTCTCCAATGAAGAAAGTCTTTCAGAACCAGACTTGTCATACAAAATGGAACTTGTTTCTTCCTTCTTTACCTTCACAAACCTCCCCTTGAAACGAGGTCGGGCGTCAGCTACTCGCTTGCGACAGTCATAACGCACCACGTTGGCAAAGTTTCTCTCTTTACGTTTCTGGCGGAAACGAACTACTGCAGCTTCACGTATCTTCTTTTTGAACTCTCTCATTAAAAAGTCTTTCTCCGGGTCCAGTTGTCGTGTTTCAGTGCTCACCTTGTTCCCAGGGTAATGAGGAAAAGTAGGCCGTTGAAACGACCAACTGGTCAAATATGTATCCTTTTCACCTCTTACGTCTTTTTCTTTTACGTCTTGTTGACTACAACGTGCTATACTCGGACGGCTGCAGGTTGGTTCCTCCCTTTGGAAGCCTCCTTGTACGTTAACCCAAGTCTGGTTACGTGGGGAGTTTTCTTCAAAGGGAAACCACTCTGGCACTAGTTGCGGTTCAGTTTGAGAGCCAACAAAAGTCTCCTCTTGTATGGGAAACTTATCAAAGGCTAAGGTGTTATCGGGTGAAAACAGCTGTCGGAAGTTGTCTTTGGCGCTCTCTCGTGACAAATCCCCTACAAAGGTATCTGGCCATTCTTCCGTCGTTAGCCTAGGCGTACAAAGAAAGCCTGAAAGGGAAAACGTATCGTCTCTATTACCACGCATTTCTTTACAAAAGAAAAAAAAGTGTACCGAGACAATAATAAAAATGAACTACGATGTTTGTATCACTCGGGGGTTCAATCAATCCAGTGGCTTTATGACAACCACACATGCCAAAACGAATGGCCCAAACTGCTCCTCTTTGATTCACTTGAACGCACCTTCAAGAAAGATATAACCATGAGAGATAATTCCTTTGTATTATTACTTACTGTATTTGTGAAAGTCAAAAGACAGACAACGACAAACCTTTGAGTATACTGCAAAAGTCATGGCAGTGGCACTCTAAGGTTTCTTGGGGACGAGCTAGTGAAAATACTCACTAATCTACAATCTAGATGCAACAGTATACAAGTAGTTTTATTTTAATCTGGCAAATATGAGATATTTGAGTTGCTTGAGCCTCCGATCTGACCAAGAAACTATCCATGTACAAAAATTTCGTTACTACACAAATGCCGTTTAGCAGAGCGCCCAACTTGCAGACTTAAGGTAGGAAACTCTCTTCCATTAAAAGTCAAGCAATCGTATTCCTCGCTTTCTAAAGGGTTCTGTAAATTCCTTTACTCTTCCCCCTCTAGGACGCGGCGGGAAAAACCACAACTATATCGAACCTCAAATGTCAAATAAAGACAAGTGTATTCAATACCTTACCTCACGGATTCGGTGTCGTTCGGCGAATGAAGCCAACTCTTCTCCTACTTTTCTTGCAGACTCCATATTTGCACAACCATACGCGTTGACAGGTCTCTTTTCATCAGGAAGTAGACTCTGTTCATATCTTATTTAAGTTGTCCAACAGCGATTATTCTGCCTACCTTTTGGATACTCGATATAGTAACCTCTACCCGTCCTTCTCTCTTATCTACAATTTGTGCTTCTACCTTTTTGTTGGTAAGTTGAAGTAACAAATGCTTCCTCTTGTCAAACTTGAACCAACTACCAAACATGCGCGTCATTTCAAGCCGACGCAAATCTAATGACTCTTCTAATACGATTTCCACATGACAGAGAGAAAGACTGGGACAGCCCTTCTTTTGGCATCACAAACTTTCAACTTTATTACGCCCACGCTCCAATGATGGACATACAAATGGCACCTAACCAGACAAACCCTATGATACTAAATATATATAGAGAGTTGCGATTCACGAAATGAGAATTGCGTGTAAACCAATAAGTCAACAACTCTACCAATCCAGTGTATATTAGAATACCACCCGAAACACCGTCTAGGATACCTCTCGTTATTAAGGATGCCGTTGAATTTTCCTGATAACTATTTGCGATACCCATGCCAATGGATATTCCAATGGGAGTCTCCAAGGAATAGCATAATATCATGAATACTGTTATCCAAATACCAAATTGAGCCTCCGAAACAGTCGTACCTATAGCGAATCCTTCGAAGAACTGATGAAATACCAAGGCAGCAAACAATGTACGGAATGTGGAACCTGTGCTGACTCCAAGATTGAGTCCGATGATAACTGAATGAAATGCTACTCCCATTTCGAAAATGATCACCAACATTTTCAGTTTATAACCTGATGCTGTTGCAATAGTAGTTTCGTATGATGACTGATCGAGTAGAGGTACAGCTGTAGTTACCTTGTCTGTTGATAGAGATTGCAAGTTGCTTGGAATTTCGCAGTTGTCTGTTGGTTGTTGAATATTGCGTTTGGATATCATTCGATTCAATATCACAGTACTAGACATCTCCAACAATTGGATACTCAGTGCTGCAGCTAGTGCGACAGCAGCTCCAAGAGAATTATAAGTATTGGTGAAGAAATACGGAAGACACTGATTGCTCAGATTGGTTATTGCTGGTGGAAGCATATGGACGAAACCTGTTGCAATAACTACTCCAGTTCCAAAAGCTCTTCCTGCATCTAAAGCAAAGGAAGGAATCCTAAGTGAAGGATATCTTTTTGCAACAACAGGAAGAGAAGTTCCCGCGAAACTTGTAAACAATATAGTAAAAAGAGCTCCAATATGAGCAGCTTCATTATAATTGAAAGTTTGTGTAGAATAACAAGAAGACATCGAACCAATGAATGATTGAAGAGACAATGTCTTCATTGATTGATTGGATGAAAGAATCAGCGTTCGGTGAACAACAGGAAATGCTGCTGTCTCTTGGACAGATTCGATTGTTAGACTCATTCGCTCTTTATGATTACTTTGAATTGTATATTTTTACAAGAATTGTCAACTAGAAAGAGTATCATTTTCTACAATCAGTATGAAAGTTTCTACAAAATATGGAAATATAAGTAACTCTCTCTATTTCAGCTAGTCTTATTCTCATATTCAAATTGTTGGTTGTGATGGAATGTCATGCCTTGGAAATACTTTGGCAAGATATAAAGACCAGTTTAGTCGGAACAAATAGTTCTTCTAGTATTCCTTGTGCTTGGAAGTTTCCAACACTTGTTTCTCAAGCAAGTACTATGGCTTCTGAAGTACAAGCAACCTCATCCATCACAACGAACTCCGTACGTAGACAGTACAGTATAGAATGCCTATTGCAGCTTTCTGGCAGCCAGTTTCTTGAACATCAATTTCCACTATCGTTGAATGTCTTGAAACAGACCAATAAACGAAAAAGAGGTAGCTTTGTATATTCTAGAGGTGTCGTAGTTGCTCAGGGTTGGAAATAGAAAAAGTCGAAACAGAGGAAAAGAAGGAAGAAAAAGTTTCCGAATCGAAACTGCGAAGTGAAGATATTATCGTAAAAGGGAAGAATAGTTCTCTTACTTTTGAAGATATGTTTCTTTCTAATGGTTTGATTGCTGGTCTCAAGTGAGTAGGCTCTTGTTTTTATGTTTTGAATGACAATTGTTTAGGATTTGTGGTTTCGAGAAACCTTCTCCAGTACAAGTTGCAAGTATTCCTTATGCCAGATTAGGTTGTGACCTCATTATTCAGGTATGCTGGACTTTATAAGTTGAAACGACTAAAAGCCTAGTAAAAGGCCAAAAGTGGGACAGGCAAAACCTGTGTTTATGCAGTGGCCGTCTTACAGTCCCTTTTGGATAGTCAAAAGAATACAACTTTGTCTTCTTCTGTAAAAAGTATTCAAGCCATGATTATCGTTCCAACTAGAGAATTGGCTTTTCAAGTTGCTATGGTATTTGAACAACTAAGGAGAGGAATCATAGAATGCGATAAGAATGGAATACAAATTGTTACATGTGTTGGAGGTATTAGTATGAAACATGACTATCATGTTCTATCAAAGGTTTGTAAGTCTTTAAAGGTTCTTCTTGAAACCTGAAATGTGAAATTTAGGGTTTTCATGTGGTTATTGGGACTCCTGGTCGTATCAGAAATCTTATAGACTCTGCTATTTTACATTTACAACATATACAGATGTTGATAATAGATGAAGCAGATAAGTTACTTGAAAGTTGTTTCTGGAAGGATGTAAGTCATTATTTTCTTCTTCAAGGTTATTACTTATAAACTTTAGTTATTTGCGATTGAACAACATTTACCTGATTGGAAACAAGTCTTAGCTTTTTCTGCCACTTATTCTTCATCTGTGCTTTCCAAACTCTATCGCATCATGAAAGAACCTAGAAAGATAACAGTATTAGAACAAACTTTGGTAGAAAAATTATCCTTAGATAGGACACCTCTCTGTGCAGAAACATCACTTTGTGGGATAACTCATCACAAAGCAGAAATACAAGGCTCATGGAAAGGAGAAGACTTGTTTCATATCCAATTGGAGACGTTGATTTCCATCTTTGGAGAATTTTCATTTCATCAATGTTTGGTATTCTGTAACGACAAGTCCTTGTTAGACAGATATAGCAATAGTTTAAGAAATGCAGGATTCTCTGCAGATTTTACCAGTGGAGATTTGAATCAGTCGATAAGGAATGGTAATGTTCATTTCGATTGATGCCTGAGTTATTCTCAAGTGTTTTAATATCCAGAAATATTTCAACGATTTTATACACATAAGACACAAGTTTTGTTGACTACCGATCTTCTTTCCAGAGGGATTGATTTTGTGGATTGTAATTTGGTTGTGAACTTGGTAAGTTATGTTTTGGGCATCTTATGTATTATTGATCATACAATTGATGAACAGGATATACCTAAAACAACGGAGACTTATTTACATCGAGCTGGAAGAGCTGGACGCTTTGGAAGATTTGGAAATTGTGTTACTGTTTATTCATCGGAAACGCTTCCAGAAATGGAACAGTTGGAATCTCAACTTGGGATCGATTTTGCTCACTTGCTGATTGAAATTTCTGTTCATGAAAAGGAATCCTTCAAAGAAGATAGTGAGAGAACGGAACCCATTCTTGAAGAAGAAAAGAAGTATTCCAAGGAAACACTTACGACGGAGGAATTTTTGACTACAAACAACAACGACATAAATAGGACACAATATGAACACTCCAATGGTTTTTATTATTACTGGAAAGGTTATTGGTATGGATACTTCTTATCTCAATGGTACCTTTGGAAAGGAGAAACACCTCCTCCTATAGAACAAATCATGCAGCAATATAAAACATAATAAAAGAATTCCAATTATATTAGAAAACATCTTTTCGTTTTCTCAACTCTGCCAATACTTTTGCAGGTTCCGATTGTTGAACTGCTTGTTGAATGGAAGCCTCACCATATCTTAAAAAAGGATTATATAAAAATTCCTCCTCTAAAGTACTAGGAACGGTACACTTTCCTAATTCAAGCTGCTTCTTGGCCCAATCGTACTTCTCTTTCAATATCTGATTATGAGGCTCCATTTGAAGAGCAAACTCCAAATTCTTAAGAGTGTACTCATGACCACAAAACATAAATGTATTTCTAGGAAACCTGTGAATAACCTGTTCGATATTCTGGAGCATATCATTACTATCTCCTTCAAAGAACCTGCCACAACCTCCAATAAATAAAGTGTCTCCAGAGAAGAGAACTGCAGAGGAACCAATAGCATCGCGTTCCTTCACAAAGTACAACAAATGACCACGAGTATGACAAGGTGTACAATATACATAAACTTCGAGACAACTCGGAGAATAAAACTGAAAGATATCACCTTGTCCTACCCTATGAGTTGTACCAGGAACAATTTCATATTTACTTCCAAATATCTTCAAAGAAGAATACTTTTCCAATAACTCTTCATTGCCACCAGAATGATCCCAGTGTTTGTGTGTTGTTAAGACAGCAACAAGACTTACTCCTTCTTCTTCAGCTGCACGAGTAACTTTTGTGGGTTCAACTGGATCAACAGCTGCAGCAACTTTATGACGCTTGTCTATCAACAAATAGGCATAATTATCTCTTAATACTGGGATCGTTCGCACTTGTAAGTTCTCGGAAATGGAACAAGTACTTGAGAAAGAACACCTATGAAGTGAACGAGAAACAGACAATTCGCGGTTGTCAAGCTCCCTCAGTCTATTTGCTCTGAAAACAACACTATATGAGAAGTGTTTACAAGGTGAAAATACTGTTTTACAAGTAGAACGATTGGTAGTAAAGTATCGTTTGCCAGCCCAAACAACAACACCTTGAAATGCAGACTTGCCTCCCAACAACATGACTGCTTTGAAGAATGAATGAGTCCACAAAACTGGAGTACTATTTCTGTTGGGAGAAAAATCTCACAAGCAAAATGAAGAGAATTGTTCTACATTGTGTATATTTTAACGAACCTAGACAAGTTGAATCCAGTAAAGAAATGATGGAAGACAAGTTGAAAGAAATGAATAGCATAAATAGAGAAATTCTTAGATGAGATTTCGATCTATCAAAGTATGAGGCCCAAATAGTTCAAAGTCTCATGATATTTCTCTGCATTTAATACCAAAATAGCTCGAATGAGATTGGCTACAAGTGTGTCCATAGAAGAAATAAATAGTTGCTGGGACTAGTATTCAATAAATCTGCAGATGCCGTTCCATGTTTGTTAAAAGTTCTATGGATTGTATTTTAAGGATTGTTCCAAGACAGTAATTGCAAAAAAAACTTTCCATTTTCGACCATACAAAAAAGGAACGCCTAAGAAATGCAAATGATATCCCATGACAAACTGAAGGAGAACACATGTAACACAATAGGTTAAAGCATGGCATCAAGTTGTACAAAGGTTCAACTTTCGTTTCATATATGACAGCATCTCAAAGTGTGTTTTGGGTTTAGAGTATACCCTTTCTATGAATGGAAGAATCAAGTTGCAACTGGTGAAGGAAAACTTCATCAAATTTATAAGACCTTCCTCTACATTTTATTTTCAAGACATTTGTTATCCAATGAAAACAACTGAGGCTGATGCTCGTTTCTGTAATACGCAGCTTTACTTCACTTGAATCTTGATAACCTTTTACATTATCTGTGAAGAAACATTGAGATGTTGGTTCTGAAATAATACCTCTATTTGCTTCTTTCGTAACTTCTTACTTCAATAAGTCTATTGAACAGGGAGCTTCAGCCGTCATTTTCTTTCAACTTTTGTAAAGGTCCAAAGATATTTTTTGGTGAACTTTCGCTGACGTATTCTTTACATGTCTTGTACCATATGTTCAAAGAAATATGAGGAACTGTCTGTAATGTCCATTTCCCGCGATATTTTGCTTCTTGTTTATTTCTTTACAATGAGAACTGCAAATATATATTTTTATAACTGCTAGAAAGAAATGTATTCGAGTTTCCAAAGACCCAACAATTGTGTGATCCAGCCTTGGAACCAAATCCTGTACCTTGGTCCTCTTGGCTAGTATAAAGGTAATCAATGAATTCAAGAATTTCTTCTAAATTGTTGAACATATTGTTTGAATGATCGACGCGGACTTTATTTTTATGCATCATATCAATTCTATATCCATAGATAGCAAAAAGGGTCACAGTCTTGAGAGCAATAGTTCTTGACATTACCAAACAGGAATATTTTTATGACAAATGTAACAATTATCATATCCAACAGGTAGACCAAGAAGAACTACTACTGCCATCCAAGTTGCTGAAATCGTTTCTAAACTCAAAATAAAAGAACTGTAGAGGTGAATCTCACGAATGATATATCGACGCAAAAAGCAATATAATCAAGTGATAAAGAAATCGGAATATTCAGACAACCATTCTCTGACAGATATGCAATCATCAAAATTGAGTCGATATCAAAAAAGTTAGGAATCCTTATGCAGAAAAAAAGCATAACAGTTAACATTATACTAGTTTTGAAAGTAGACTCCATTTCAAATTTGTAAATTAAATAAAAGCTATATACAAAATATTCACATTAATCCAATCTTGTTTAATTACATTTACTACAAGTAACACAAAGCAATCTATGGTCATTTGTCTTATAAAGAAATATCATCTTTCCACTAACGAAAGACACAATTATGAACCACGATATTGTTATTGTCTCCATAGTTCTCATTCTGCTGGACTCCATTATGTTTTTCTTGGTTGTATGTATTTCAAATTGAAATTCTATATTGATCTTCAATCACACATAGGACGCAAAACATGAAATGCTTTGCTCATTTCCAAAATTGACAATGGCTTTTCTTATAAAAAGCAGTAACAATGAGTCAAGTTTCGTCCTTGAGTATCTTCGTATTACAAAAATTATGAATGCGAGAAATAACTTTGAACAGAGGATTCTCTTTTAACACAACATGTTTCTTGAAAATGACAATATCACAATATTCATTTCATCTCAAAATGACCTTAGCGCATTCTCAAAGTTGGAACCATCCAATATGTGACATTTTCCGGAAATTGGTTGGATCGTCATAGATATCAAAAGACGATGTGAGTTGGAACGTTGATATATTCTTTTGTGAATTTCAATGAGAGAGTCATACTTGTCATGAGAAGGATGATGAATGTTTTTCAAGTAGAGAAAGAATATTTTTGGAAACCTCTGAAATCTGCTTCTATAACGTTTTGCCATCAAATCAAACATATCGAGAGCTTCACTTAAAAAGCTATTGGATTTTTCCTCCGAAAAGACCAGAAAAACAATTTCTGGAAGTAATCTATCGTTTCCTTGTAGCAGTCTCAACCATTCCCAATAGTATTTCGTGAATAAACGAATTCTTTTTCCTTCCATTTCCATATTGGGTTTGAACATTTCAAATCTTTGTTGAAGACCCCAAAATGAACTGAATTGTTGTACATATTCTTTGCATTCACAAAAACTTTCTTGTCCAATATTATTCTGTTCTTTTGAGGAAGTAACGGAATGTTTGAGAATACACAAGCTATGAAGACTGTTCCAAATTTTGAATTTCTTTCTTTTTCTAAGATATATTGGATGGTTCTTCGCAATATCATTGCTATTTCTAATCGAATGGAATTCTTCAGTTGTAGAACCAGGACGGAATTTCTCAAGAAAGAAACGCTGTATTTCTAACAAAGGTAACCCGAAACTTCCTGTGAGCAGTACTTGTTTACTAGACGCCCATAGCTCTTCTTCTTGCTCCTTTCTGCTTTCAATAATGCAAGAAAGACACCAGGTTTTCCAGAGAACATCTTTTCTAAAGTTGGTTTTTTCTGAATTCATATTCATTTTGACATCTGAAGGCTTTAAAATTTCCACTTTGTTGACAGGACTTCTACAAAGGGGACATAGTCTATCATCTAAAAGTATAGTACAATAACTACAAGTCTCTTCATGTCGACATGGTAAAAGAAGAACATTGACTGAACGTTCTAAACAAACAATACAAGTCATCAATTGTTCAATCAACGATATTGTTCACAAAGAAAATCTAATTGAATGAAATTACATTTTGATGCTGCTCATGAATTAAATGTAGAAAATGCCTGATGATTCATGTACTTTGAAAGGAAATTTCATCAACGAACTTTTTGATTTCTCACTAACAAGACATTGAAGGATATGTCTACCCAAAAAACATCTCCACAAACAAATAAAGACGTAGAAGGTTTGAAAGATTTGCCTCCAAACTCATTTATTCGCAAATACTCTTATGGTGACATGGGTGGAATGTCCAAGGAATATCACGGTAATGAGGAAGTTAATAGTTTGGTTATTCTATTTCTCAACGCCTTTCAGCTCCTGTTAAACAATTGGTTGAACTGGGACATCCAGAGGCTTTAGGTTTGGCTGGATTTGCAGCTACTGACTTCATGTTGAGCTGCATCAATGCTTCACTTTTACCTAGTTCTCTCACTAATAGCATAATAGCCTTGGCATTCTTTTACGGCGGTAGTGCTCAACTTATAGCTGGCATTCTTACCTTTATCAAGCAAAACACTTTTGGAGGTGTTGCATTTTGCAGTTATGGTGCTTTCTGGCTAACCTTTGGTGTCCTCATTACTTTAGAAGCAGAATATGGTTCAAAGTTGCTGAGTGAAACGGACTATACAACTGCTTTAGGATTTATTTTAGTATGTTACACAATATTCAATACTTACTTGTTCGTTGCAACGATGGCACATAACATACAACTCTATATCATTTTTCTTAAAATGCAGTTGGTATTGGTAGATATGCACTTTTTTGGTGTAATAAGCTCTATTCCAGGAGGTGTTATGGGAATGTTGTGCTCTATTAGTGCCTGGGTTTTATCAGCCACCATAGTGATAAATGATAGCTTCGGAACTACAGTAATACCAAATCCTGAGCTAAAAGAGCTTCCAGTCTTTCGTAATTGGCTTAAGATGATCAAAAATGGAAAGTAACAGCTATCTGTGTTCGTATTCCAGTGACAACAAGCACTCATTTCTCCAAATAAATTTGTGACTCATATTTTATTTGTGAAAATCAGACAAGACACACTTAGGTCATGATGCCCGAGCTATCATTTGTTGACCATTTCCTTTCCCAAACGATTGGCTTTCAAAATGCACTGATAAACCAAATCGGGACTGATTTCGTAAGCAATGGACAAATGATAAACCGTTTCTCCCTAAGAAAGAAATGAGTTGGCCTTGTTGAGATTCCAATTTTGACTCACCTTGGCACACGTACGTTCTGCAACTCTTCTGATACCTTCAACGTCATTTTCTTTGATTCCAAGTTCTTCTAAAGTTACTGGTAGTCCGGTATCATAAAAGAATTGTGCTACTCTGAAAGCTTCCTGTAAGTCATTCTCCAGGCACAAGTGAACCAAAGTACCAAACGCTACTTTTTCACCGTGATATTTTGTCTTAGTGGCGTGATGTGCTGTAAGGCCATTATGAACGGCATGGGCAGCTGCTAAACCTCCACTTTCGAAACCCAGTCCACTGAGTAAAGTATTGGCCTCCGTAACTCTTTCGATGGCTTCCGTGACTTGAAGTGGTTGGCAGTTCAAGTCTTTTACTGCTTGTCTTCCATATGTGAAGAGAAGATCTCTGCAGAGTCTCCCCAATGCTTCTGCTGTTGCAGTTGGTCTTCCACCTGCACAAGTAACTGCGTGTTCTGCTTTCCAGCAAGAAGCTGCCTCATAATAGGTTGCCATAGCGTCTCCCATACCACTCACAAAAAACCTCTTTGGTGCTTTTGTAATAATATCAGTATCTACCAAGACTAGAGATGGATTACGTGGATAAAATACCTATTTTTTGAAAAGTCATGTGAACAAGATAACAAATAGAATGTACTTACATATTCTAAGAATTCACCTTGTTGAGTATAGAAGACAGATAGAGCGGAGCACTATCGCAATGATGGTCATATAATAGCACAGAGATGCTCTTCATTTTACATACCGGTGCATCATTACTTGCTAATGTAGGCACTGAAACGAAGGATACATTTCTCAAATAGGCAATGGCACGAACACAGTCGATATTTGTTCCACCTCCAACTCCCACCAAGCAATAACTGTTTGTCACATGTAGTGTTTCTATTTTCTGGTTGATTCTTGTAAACTCCTCCCATGTGCATTCTCCATGGAACTCCAAAAACTCCACAACTTGTGCCGCCTTATATTTTTGTAGTGATTCTTGTATGGTCTTTCCTTGGTCTTTGAGCCGATTGGGAGATAACACCACGATAACAGTATGATATTGAAATGGTTGAATATACAAGCCTATATATTGTAGTGCACAAGGTCCTTGTACATATCTTAGAGGAGCATTGAATATTTTACAAGAAAGCTCTTTATATTTTTCCATAGGATTGTATTGCAGTTCTTTTGGTAACCTTGACATTTTTAAAAAAGAGACTAGGAAACAAAATATCGTATTTCGAGTGATCATTAGAATACATATAGAAATATGGCTATCTTTGTTGAGTTTTAATTCAAATCTCCTTTGGGTAGAAATGAAATCCTAAACATAAAAGAGATCCCAGAGTCATTTCTAACGATACTGAATTTGCATGATGATGAACGCAGCAGTCTTGAAAGAGTTCAATCAACCTCTATCCATTGAAAAGGTCCCTGTTCCTCAACCTGGATTTGGACAAGTTCTTATGCAAGTAAAAGCCAGTGGAGTATGCCATTCTGATGTTGATACTTGGGAAGGCAATCGACCCATCAAACCTAAACTTCCCTTAATACCTGGGCATGAAGGTGCCGGTGTTGTGGCTCAAGTAGGTCCTGGTGTCGATTTTCTCAAAAAAGGTGATAGAATTGGAGTTCCATGGCTCTATAACGCATGTGGGCGTTGTGAATTTTGTTGTCAATCAATAGAGACCGTATGTCCTCATCAAGAATGCACTGGATATACCAAAGATGGTAGCTTTGCAGAATACTGTGTAGTTGATGCAAAATATATTGGTCGGTTGCCAGAGAATGTAGAGTTTACTACAATTGCTCCAGTTCTTTGTGCTGGTGTCACTGTTTACAAGTCATTAAAAGAGACGGAGACTCGTCCAGGTCAGTGGATTGCCATAGTTGGAGTTGGTGGTCTTGGTCATCTCGGCATTCAATATGCAAAAGCTATGGGTATGCAAGTCGTTGCAGTAGACATTGATGATTCCAAATTACAATTGGGAAAGAAATGTGGAGCAGACATTATTATCCATTCGAATAGAGAAAATGCAGTGGATCGAATACAAAAAGAAATAGGAGGTGCACATGGCGTTGTCGTTACTGCAGTATCTCCCAAAGTATTTCCACAAGCAATTGGAATGGTTCGTCGTGCGGGTACTGTTGTGTTGAATGCATTACCTCCAGGAGATTTTCCATTGAATATCTTTGATGTCATATTGAGAAGAGTCACTGTACGAGGATCTATTGTCGGAACGAGACAAGACTTACAAGAGGCATTGGATTTTGCTGGTCGAGGAGTTGGTCTTCCAGAAGTACATATAAGAAAGCTTAAGGAAGTGAACGATATCTTACATGATATGCAACAATTCAAAGTTGTTGGAAGAATAGTGCTAGAGTTCTAAATAATGAATGGTGTGATGTCGAAAAATTATGTTTTGTTTGTCTTTGTGTGGCTTGATAAACAACTGGTTCAATCCAAATGTATGTAATGTAACTTGGTATGGATACAAGCATGGAAGAGTAGAAAAAGGAGTAGGAAACATTTTAATTGACGTGAATATATTCCTATTGCATTCAAAAAACCTTTCCATTGAAAAGATATGGAGGAACTCATTCGAATATCATTATGCGATGAGAAAATGAGACAGATGAGAATGCACAACAACATGGACAAAATATTTCCAACAAGCTTGACATAATTATTGTCTTTACGATGATTAAACTTTCTGATGTCATTTGTTCTCATGGAAGAGAACTTTTCAATGAGAAAATCACATACAAATACAATGGATTTCATGAGAAATATATGAACCAAATAAGAATATAATGGAAGAAGAGATATTTCAAGTCTTTTGTGTTCGAGTGAATCTGACTTGGATGATTATTTTGTTGAATCTTAAACTGAAGCTCTATCTGTTGTATTCCTCATCTTTTGTGAATCTCAGAAGCAACGAAATCTTTTCTCTCCCTAAGAAGAAATACGAAATCTTTTCTCTTTTGTGTGATTTCGACGTTTTTCTTGAAAACAGTCATGAAACTTTCTCATAGACTTATATGCTGATGGATTCTGTACTCGACAACAACTCAAAATACAATCCTATTGAAAGATATGCATCCTTGGGTCACAAAGTATTTGGAGCTCCCCAAAAGTATATCCAGGCTCCTCATCTGGTTCAATATATTGGAAAGTACTTGAGTCTACTGAACGCTCAGCACATTGTACTAGTCAGGGATCCCCTTTTGAATATATTTACACAAGTACGTGACTCCATTTTACAACATAGAGCAGCCAAAAGGGTTGACGAATATACATTCGATGGCGAGTGTTCGTGGCAACAAGTCAAACGCATAGTGGATGCCATTCACTCCAAGAGCCATTCTTCAGGTACTCCTGATTGCCTAGTTGCAGTTGGAGGAGGTAAAACGCTGGATTTGGGAAAAGCTATAGCCAATCAGTTGCGCATATCATTAGCTATCGTGCCTACTTTAGCAAGTACTGATGCACCGGTGTGTATATAATACTTTCTGCTTTATTTTTCTCATCATGAATAGTGTTCGGCTCTTTCTGTTATGTATACACCAGAAGGAGACTTTCAAGAGTATGTAAGTATTCAAATAATTGTCTATGTTGGGATCATCATTCAAGTTGTGTATACAGTCATTTTATCCGCTCAATCCTACCTATGTATTTGTTGATAGCTCAATCATAGCAAAAGCACCCAATCGATTTCTTGCCAGTGGTATAGGTGATGCAATGGCCACTTTTTATGAAGCCGATGTATGTTTCCATAATCCAAAAGCAACTACTTGTCAAGGAGGTCGTCCCACTTTGAGTGCTTATTCTTTGGCAGAATTATGCAAAAATATTTTATTCAAGCATGGTTTGGAAGCATTGAAGGATGTGAAAAAGGAACAATTATCAGAGTCTGTGGATCTCGTGATTGAAGCCAATACTCTGTTAAGTGGCTTAGGTTTTGAAAGTGGTGGATTGGCTGCAGCACATGCCATACATAATGGTTTGACTATTCATCATGCCACACATCATAAAATGCATGGAGAGAAGGTTGCTTTTGGAGTTATCAGTCAACTATGTATGGAAGGAAAGATGGAAGAAGCTTACAAAGTTGCCCAATTCTTTTATCATTGTTACTTACCAGTTACTCTTACCGATTTGAACTTGAAAGAAAGTGACAGAGAAGGATTGGAAAATATAGCAAAACGAGCTTGTCAACAGGTTGGATATTTCATTTCGTTTCAAAATGTTGTTGTTTTTTGAATCAGAATAGGATGAGACTATTCACAATCACCCATTTCCAGTTACTCCAGACAAAGTTTATGATTCCATGTTGGAAGCTCATCGTTTAGGAATGAAAGTTGTGCATCAGACAAGTAGAGATTGAAATAGTAGTAGTGTATAAAATTTGTTGTTGTGTCAAATTTCCATTTGTCTCTTCTTTGGGTGATATATATAATATATAATATATATATAATGTATATAATATATAATATATAATATATAGCTAATGTCATATGGGCAGTTGCGGCGTCCTCCTTTGTTCACTTGTATGATAAAGCATTCACAAAGGGTTGGTAAAACCTTTTCTTGGTTATCTCTTAGGAAACACTGGGACTTTTATTTCTCTAGACTATCAACCACTTATTCGTTTACCTTGAAGAATGAGACAAAGAATAACTCCGTGATACGTGTAGCTGAAGAATATATGCAGTGTCTTACAGAACGTGCACGAACTCCAAAAACTTTAGTTAGTTTATCTCAACAGAACAAAACGCAACTAGATAGTCGCGAACTATGGATTCGTGGGAAACAAGCTTGGCTTCACGCTAAACTGAAAGAGTTTCTGCAGTCAGTGACAGTGGACACACAAAAGTACCAAAAGAAGAAAAAGAAGCTATGTTATGCTATTATTGATAAATTAGGTTGGACTTTTGCGGATACTTTATTATCTTTCAATTGGCAAGAAAGGAGAAATATAACAGCTTTGATTTTGGCGGATTTTCCAGTGAACAACATCGCTACAAAGGAAAATGGAGACTATCTTTTACAAGGTATACAAGAAGAAGATGCTGTTCGGAAGGAATCTCTTGTCACAGATAGTTTACAAGCAGGTTGGTCGGATGATATTGTTTCCTTTCGACAGCCATTACAAGATACAGCTGAAGTGGAGCCTTTGTCATACACCGATATGCATGATTCCCAAAAAGGAGAAGGAAATAAGGCTACTGCTATGCGCTCTTTTGATCGTGATTGGCAATTTTATGATATTTTCCTATCCGGAATAGCTAGTCATCCAGCAGGATTGGAAGTGGCTTGCGAGTGGAGAAGAACTCTTCATGATCTTTGTCTTCCTGTCAATGCAGTTGGAGTAGCTGACTATTTTGGCAATCAAGCGATAGATACAAAAGCTATCATCTTGAGTGCACAGATATGTTTGAGTTTCTTAATGCGCCATATAGAAATATATTTTCGTCAGTGTTTCTTATGTATAGAAACAGTGGATGCTGTCAATATGAATACTTTTACTCGCAGTTATAGAAGTTGTCTATTACGTGCTTCAGTATTGCCATCTGTTCCAGAAGTTGACTTTTTGAAAAGAATTCAGAGACCTGGAAGAAAAGTATTTGTTCTAGTTCATCAATCTGCTCTCGATTATCCTTTAGCTTTTGCAGAGTTGGCGCTGACTAGACAACTTCCCAATACTCTCGATGAGCTAATTCAATTGGAATTGAACTGGTCAGATCTGGAAAGTGGAAGTCTTCAAGAGCCTTTCTTTGTTGTTTTATTGGAATGTTTTCCTACTGGAAGAGCTTCCAAAATGGGACTTACCAAAACGATGATCGATATGTTACTTCAAAAGCTAAAACGTCAGTATTCCATGTCTATCAAGACTATTTACACACTAAGTCATATAAGAGGATTGCTTCCTTGGATGAAAAAGCAAGTAGAAAGACACAAAGCCACACATAACAGTCAAGGCACATCTTTATTGAAGAGTGCAGCGAATGTATTGTCTCAAGTATTGCTAGCCAATGGAAGACCCAAATCGATTGAACAATTGAACAGGCCATTATTAGAAGAGAACAAACAAGCTCTGTTGGCAATTTGTGCACATTATTTGATAAGAGTTAGAAGAAATGGTGGATTACCAGCTGACTCTTGTACTGCATTACATCTTTCAAATGGAGCAAGATTGACCGATATTTGTTGGTATAGTGATAACTCTACAAGTTCAGTGGGTCATAGTGCTTTAATGATGAGTCGCTTTTGTTATCATTTGGATAGCAAACAATACTATGCTTATTATTTTGCTTCCCGCAATTTTGTCAATACGAGTGATGAGGTTCAATATTGGTTGAATCAGTTTAAGTTGTTATCAACAACAGATGAGTTTGATAATAGGGTATGATATTGTTCAACTATTCCTCTTTATCACTTTGCTATAAAAACTGGTACCCAGTTCCCTATTCAATATATCCATACATTTATCCATACAAACAAAAGGACTCTTCATCCTATTATTTAAAGCGTCAACAATTCTTCCTCTTTTTATCACCCATTTCCATATTACCCTTCATTGAGTAACTTGTTCCGTCTTATGGCACCTACTAGTGTCTTTCTATCGTGTCTTAAAGTTGTAAAATGAACAAGATTGAATATGAATTTTCTTAATAGTGCTCTTATTAGCTCATCTCCTTCCAACATGTACTGTTGTTCTTCTTCTTCTTCCTCAAATACGGCAAAGTCATCCTCATACAACCCCAATCTCAGTTTTTCTAATACATCCATCATAAGATTCAGTCTACCTCTTTATAACATTATGATCAACTAACTGCTGATAATGACATCTTCACTGGTATTATCGTCTCCATCTTTTGGAAAAACTGGAGTGAATTCCTCTTCCGTCGTCCTATCATCACTGGGAGAAGAACGGTGCAAACTTTCCAGCAACTCAAGTGTACGTTCTCCTCCTCAAATAATTGAGTTGAAAGTGCAAGAAATACAAATACTTACTCCTTATAGATTCTTCTAAGGAATATTTACGTGTGGGTACAACACTACTGTTGCAATCCACTGGGACTCCATAACGAAAACCGTGCCTTGTGAGAGCTACCATTCGTGCTTTGGTATCTTCTGAAAATAGTTTCGAACGATAAATCAATTGGATATATTTGCGATAAAGTTGTTTACTCAATATTCTTCCATCCTTTGTGAAACTTTGCATCTCTCTTTCCCAAAAGAAATGAAATGATCTATATGTAAGGAAAGAAATCTATTGGATTTGATTCTCTCATGCCTACTCATCAACATATTCTACCATATGTTGGTTTCCATCTCTATACATGGAAGAAAGGCGACCTTCTTCACTACGTCCTCCTGCTTCTTCATCATCATCTTCTCCTTGTGCTGAAGTTCGAGCAACACTAACACCACTGAAGCGAGGTAAAGGCTGTGTTGGAGAGTTCTGTAGAGTAACATTCCTTAACTCTGGAGGAACATCACTAAAAGCTTCACGGAACCAATGTCCTATTCGTTGAAATATATTGCCACGTTCAAGTGACGGAGAATTCGTCGGTTGTGGTAGTGGCAAAGCTATTTCACCAGTAGAACTTACCTCGGCTACAGAAAAGGTAGGACGGTCAACCGCAGTTGAATTACACAACGGGCATCGATTGACAGAACCGAGCCATCGTTCAATACATCGACAATGAAAGGCGTGACCACAACGAAGTAAACGAAGACGACTTTCCTTTTTCACTTCTTCCAAACAAATGGAACAAATACCACCAGGAATAGCCTTTGCACTTAGCAATGGCGTATTATCTTGTTTGGTTTTCTTTGAAGAGCTCGACCTACTTAACACTTCCCTCTCACCTCCCACATGTAACCACTCATTATTACCAGGGTTCACTATGGATATCACCAGTACATCCCCCTCTTCAAATCCTTTTGTAGAATATTCTCTTTTCCTTGTCTCTGACCTTTTGTCTTCATTATCAGTTACAGGAAAACTTCCTCCCCTTTCCTCGAGGGTACTCAACTGACCGCATTCTTCGTCATCCTTTTTAGGTGCAACTTGTTCGATAATTAATTTTTCAGGATGCAAGGAGGCTTTACTACTTCCTTTGTATATCAATAAAGGACAATAGTGTAGTATGTCATATTTGGAAAGACCCGCTTTTCTTACTTGGGTTCTACGAGCCATCTGTTCCTGAAACTCCAAACGTACTCTTACCCTTTTCAAATACTTGTACTGGAGAGCAAAGAAGAATACAAACATTGCTAACCCTATAGGTATTACGATAGGTATCACAATAGCAATAATCAGGTTCCCTTGAGACACCATCTCCAACAACAACACAACAATCCGACTTGTCAAAGAGACACGAAGAAAAATGGACAATGTGTGAGAGAAGAAATCTTAAAGGGATGGCGTATCGGTTGATCAGGAATGGGATTGGTAAAAACAAGTCATTTTTATACATGATTCTGAAAATATATCAAAAAGAACAAAACATGTCTCTGCCAATCCCAAAGAGAACAACTGAATATATATATTTCAACCTAATGTATCTTTTCAAAACATTTTACTTCATAGCATTGCGATAATCAAATAACTTATCACGTAACCTTCTGATAGTTGCCAGTTTCTTCTCCAACTGTAAACCCAACTTGTCAACATAGTCTTCAAAAGATGAAGTGGGTTGATCTACCATTTGTAACAATGCCATTTCTTGTTTGACCAGTTCCATAGTGTCATCAATATGTTGACGATGAGCCATTACTAAAGACTCTTCGATGTCCGTCGTGTCTTCTGATAAAGTCTTTTGAAAAGATGCTTGTCTATAAGATAGAACATCCATCATTCCACTAGATGCATGATGTTGTTGCCTCGTATTATATTGTTTTTGCTCTTCTAAATGATGCGAATATTTTGATGCAGTTGACATACTTGCCTGAGAATGTTGTGAATGTATCAAACTGGGAGGTCTTACAAGTCCTTCACTAGTTCTTTCTACTGGCAAGCCTTTGGAATTATCAATAGCAACAAAAGTCGATATGCTTTTTCTACGACTATCTGTTCTACTGGGTTTAGGAACAGGTATAAAACTTAAACGAGATTCTCTGTTTGGCCTAACATTTTCTTCTAAAGCAGTAGACTCACATTCCTTATCTTCTCTTAATAACTTGGAAGGAGGAGGAATGAGACTTTTTGAACGTGAAATTTCTCTCTTCTGCTTGGAATGGGCTTCTCGATGCTGCTTGATGTGCTCATTTCGTTGGGAAATTCGTCTAGTGACTGCGTCCTTTTCTATAATAGCATGGTCTTCAGGTTTTCCATCTTCCTTTCTATACTCGTCTTGTTCTTCATCATATTCTTTGCTATCCACAGAACTAGCTGAATTGGAAAACACACAACTTTGTCTTCTACTTCCAGAAGAGTCCTTTCTTAGCTCTTTGACACGGTCTGCATATCTAAGTGTATTCAATGTATGCTCACAATTAGAAGCAGAAGGAGATATATTCGCAATCATCACAGTTCGAGAGTCCACACTCGTAAACGAGTCTTTCAATACCAACGTTAACTTACTTCCACGAAATGGAGTGTGATGGTGATTCTGGTCCAGTGCTCTTATACATTCCTTCAGAGCCAATAAGCTCTTATTGATTTCTGCACCTTCCATTCTAGTCTGCCTATCATTGTGTGTAGTATCTGCGGCTCTTTCACTTCCAGCAAGATCAATAAAAGACAACTTTCCAAAGGTATATGCAGGATCTTCCTCAATGCTCGTCTTTTTATCATTCACATATTTCAGTTGAATTTGGAGAATTGCATGAGACCTCGAAGAATCTGCATTGGCTCCAGTACTTCCAGTACTTCTAGCTTGAGCTCCTTCTTCCAATATTTGCAACACATCTTCAGCAGTACTACAGAACCTTTGTTCTAAACCAATAATTCTAACTCGTTGTTTGGCATCTTCACGACATTCTATTCTTCTTCTTCCATTCAACAAATCGAAAAGTTTTGCACCATATATTTCAAAGAAACTAATGTAAACGCCCAAATGAGAATATTCCGACTTTGCCTTTAACCTAAAAATATCTTGGAGCGCCAGAGTATAAAGCCCTGGTTCTTCATTAGTTCCCATCATAGTATATGTTTTACCTGCTCCTGTTTGTCCATAAGCAAAACAAGTGACTTTACATCCTTTGAAAAATGCAAAAACCAGAGGTTGTGCACAATTTTTATAAACCATCATATTGTTGGACTCTTCATTGAATATCTTATCGAAGGAGAACTCATGTACCTCAGTATATTTGGTTAAGTCGACTTTCAGCTTGGGTTCAAATACTTGTAGTGTATTATTGACTGCGCTTATCACATCCGGATCATTTTTCGCACGTTCTTTCTTACTAATCGGTCGTTTTCTCACACAAACAACTATTCTGGAATTCTCCTCTGAAGTGTTAGTCAATTGCTCCATTTCATTTATGCACATTTTCCATGTTGGTACACTACAACTGTGTCTATGTTTACTATTTCTTTTCGCAACTTTATCATCGTTCAAGTTGTTTTCTGAGGAAGCGACATTGGGCATCATAGAAAATCTATCAGCCTTGTTCTTTTTTGGCTCTTTTGTATAAGAAGAAGATTGAGGAGGAGGAGAGAATCCGAACTTGTCCAAACCAGTAGCCGAAGTATTCTGTTTCGAAATGAGCTGCAGCAATAGAGACTGTTGTTGTTCGTCCTTTATTCCTATAAGAGACAAATCGGAAGCTGTCAAGTGGAAGAAGGAATATTCATCCACACCCAATTCCTCGAGCTTAGGATACAAGTGAGAAGCACCTGAATAAGGTTCAATCACCACCTTCTCTATAGTCACGATGTTACTTACCTACGCTTCTCAGCAACTCTTTTACTTTTTCTACCATTCTGTTGATAGAAATTTACACACTCTCTAAAGTCTTTATTTTCCTTACTCCACCACCATTCCACAAATCGAGACAAATAGACACGATTGTTTCTTTGGAGGCTTCCAAAACAAAAATTCAAAATGATTCGCCCGCCAAAAATTGTCCCAAGGAAAACAATTCTTCCATGAATTTATTTATATATGCATTTATTATGTTTGATTGATACTCAACTATGCCAATTCTGGTACAAATCCATCAGGAGGATGACGGCCTTTCTTATTTCCACCTTCTGAAGAAGAATCATCTTCCTCCTCTTCATCCTTTTTGGATGCATTGGATGGGCCATCTTCCGTGGATATCCTCCTTCGACGATCGTTCTCATAATCTTTGACAAAACTATCATAATCAGTAAGCTTGGCATAAGGACGAGGACCTAAAATTTCTACAAGATCATCTTCACGAACTACTTCCTTCTCCAATAATCTAGCAGCAAGTGCTTTCACTTGACCAATATGTTCATTCAATAGTTTCTCACAACGTTTGTATGCTTCATCTACGAGTAACTTGACTTGGTCATCGATCATTTCTGCTGTTTCTTCGCTGTAGGGCTTTTCAAATGCATTTTCTTCACTTGAGGAATTCCCACTATATGAAACTGGTCCCAATATACGTGACATGCCATAAACTGCCACTTGAGCATACGCCGACTTGGTAACTTTGTCCAAATCATCTTGAGCTCCAGTAGTGATTTGATGGAATAAAAGTTGTTCCGCTACTCTACCACCCAATGCCATAACCATATAGTCACTTAATTGTTCCTTACTAGTAATATATCGTTCTTTGGGTAAATATTGTGCAAAGCCTAACGCAGCTTGTCCACGAGGAACAATAGAAACCTTCAATAGTGGTTCAGCGTGTGGTAAAAACCACGCAGCGACTGCATGACCTGCCTCATGATGAGCAACCGTCTCTCTTTCTTCTCTAGAAATGACTTTATTCTTCTTTTCCAATCCCCCGATAACTCGATCAGTGGCTGCCTCAAAATCAGACATACCCACTTGACTACGATTGTCTCGAGCGGCAATCAAAGCAGCTTCATTACAAATATTGGCAATATCTGCACCTGTAAATCCTGGAGTAAGAGAAGCCAAACGTTTAGCAATAGTAGACACATCATCTGCAAGTTTCAAAGGTCTCAAATGAACTAAAAATATTTGATATCTTGAGAGAATATATTCAGTCTCTGAGAGAACACACATTTCCATTCACTTACCTTCCTCGAATATCGGGTTTATCTATCAAAACTTGTCGATCAAAACGACCTGGTCGTAACAAAGCCTTATCTAAGATATCCGCTCGATTGGTTCCAGCAAATACAACAACACCTGTGGAAGATGTAAAACCATCCATTTCTACTAATAAAGCATTGAGTGTATTTTCTCTTTCATCATTTCCTCCAGCAAAGCCACCTCGACCTCGAGCACGTCCAACAGCGTCAATTTCATCAATAAACACAATACAAGGTGCATTGGCTCTAGCTTGTGCAAAGAGATCCCTTACTCGACTTGGACCAACACCCACAAACATTTCAATAAAATCCGAACCACTTGTCGAAAAGAAGGGAACACTAGCCTCTCCTGCAGTAGCCTTTGCGAGTAAAGTCTTTCCTGTTCCAGGAGGACCAACCAACAAGGCACCTTTCGGGAGTTTGGCTCCTAATCTACGATATTTCTCGGGCTTTTTTAAAAAATCAACAAATTCCATGATTTCTACTTTAGCTTCGTCCAACCCAGCAACATCATTAAAGGTCACTTTAGGAGTTTTGCCTCTATCTCCTGGTCGAATAACGGTTGGATTAGCTCGACCTACTTGAAAAATATTTCTTCCACTGGAATTGGATACACTCGAACCCATTCCACCTCGAAATATCATAAAGGTCAATCCCAACAATAATAAAGTAGGAAATACTCGGAATAACTCATTCAAAAAGTTTCCTTCATAACTATAAACAACTGGTACGAAATCATTGGGAGATACTCCCAAGTCTTCTTGAATTTGTTCCAACTTGTTTTCGAAAGCTTCTACAGAGCCAATGGTAAAGTAATACGGAGCATGTTTTCCTTTTGGAATTGGAGTAACTAAAGAGCGAACATCGCTTACAGACTCGAGTTGGTTTCTATTCATACCCACTCGTTCTTGTCTTCTCTGTTTTTGCTCGAATATTTCATTGGCCACTTGTGCGTCACTTTCTCCAGCCTTTCCATAAGCCGAAGTACTTGAGGAGAAACCTTCATGTTCCTTCACATAAACTCTTGCAATAGATTTGTTGACTACTTCAATATAATCTACTAAACCAGGTTCCAAGAGATCCTGTAAAAATTGCTGAAAATCTATTTCCTTTCTTGCAGCTTCTGAACGACTAAAGGCACTCAACACACCCAAAATAAGAAGTGCTAATAGCACTTGTTGTATTACTAAATAAGAATCTGGTTGTGGAGGTGTTGGAGGTTCTTGTCCTCCTTCCTTTTCTGTCTTGTCTTCACTTCCTTTCCAGTTTGTTGACTCTTCCTTTTCACTTTTGGATTCTTCCTTATTCTGTTGTTCCTTTTTATTTCCACCAAACCTTCCAAATCCTTTAGGTAGTCCTGCAAAAGATAACCATTTTTTCCAGTCTGCACTATCCAACCAAGGGGAACGACTCACAAGTTCGTGAGAAGACAGAAAACGTCTTTGTACCCCAACCAAGCTTTCCCACTTTAGTGTTTTGGACTTTATAAGAGCATGGAAATATCTTGAGCTTGTGCTTTTTGTCAACAAAGATTCTTTATAAACAAAATATTGGTTGACAAGTTCAACCACATGTGTAAGACGCTTCTGTTGATAAGGAAACCGAATCATCGATATCCCCTTTTCCAATAAGAAATGCTATTTTCTCTTTTGCTCTTTCTCTCTCTCTCTTCTTGTTTTATACATATACACATTGAACAATAGAAGTTTTTCAAGCCTTTGGATTGTATAGGAGGATCAGAACAGTTGTTTTCTCTCAGCTATTTCTGTCAGCCAGGGATAACTATATCCTTCATCATTTCCTCCTCAATTCGTTGGTTAGTAGATAACTTGTAGTTTCTCTCTCTCTCTCTCTCTCTATATATATATATATATATATAAAGGCACATACTATTATAGAAAAAGCAGTCAACTTGTTTTATTATTTCCAGTCCAAAGAAAGAAAAAGTATATCAACCAAATAAAAAACATCGTTGGCGACGCCAATCGATAACCATTGTGTAACCTCGTTTGGATCTTCCATTTTGATCATAGTCTCTAAAATGGATCCTTTTCTCTATTGATTCCAATTGTGCACTTTTATATATATTTATATAAACATTTCTATTCATAAACTGTTTCTATCTATATCTATCTATATATATCTATCTATATCTATATAAACTCCAATCTGATCTTCTAGAGACAATTCCCATTTTCCATTTGTCTTTATTTTCTATTGGGACAAATTAAGTAAACAAAAGCGTCGAAACTTGGCGTCACAATATGCAAATATTCGTCAAGGTATAAAGAATAAAGTTACTATTATTGGGTTAACCTATACACATCTTTTCTAGACACTTACTGGGAAGACCATTACTTTGGAAGTTGAGCCTTCCGATACTATTGAAAACGTAAAGTCCAAGATACAAGACAAGGAAGGTATCCCTCCGGATCAACAACGTTTGATATTTGCAGGCAAGCAACTAGAAGATGGAAGAACTTTGTCTGATTATAATATCCAGAAAGAATCCACTTTGCACTTGGTAAGCAACTCATTCTTTTCACTATAGAACTAGTTGACTTGGTTTCTAGGTATTGAGACTTCGTGGAGGTGCTATTCCTGAAGGGGATCCGACTCGTGGAGAGAAGATATTCAAGACTAAATGTGCTCAGTGCCACACTTATGAAAGTGGAGGCATCAACAAACAAGGGCCCAATTTACATGGCTTGTTTGGGAGACCAGCAGGTTCAGTTCCCAGTTTCAGCTATTCAGCTGCCAACAAAAACTCCGGAATAGTATGGAATGAAGATACTTTATTCGAGTATCTCATTGCGCCCAAAAAGTATATTCCAGGTACCAAAATGGTATTTGCTGGTTTGAAAAAGGAGCAAGAGAGAGCAGACTTGATTGCTTTTCTCAAAAAAGCTACTTCAGAGTAGGCAGAAAGTTTATTTTGTGTTTAGTTTTTCTTTCATAAATACAAATCGTCGGTTTTCTTCAAAATTGGAATCATTTGCCGCTTCGTCGTCCTGTTTGTTGAATGAATGTATGTTCGGAAAAGACTACTATTCATACCTTCTCTTTCCTTGGTGTGGAACTATTCTATACACAATCGATTATATAGGAAATATCTTTGTGGTTCACTTAAGGTAACCAAACAGTCGGCTTGTTTTGTTTCTTGGAAAGCTATTTCGACTTTACCACCTCCAAAAACTTGGAATGAAAGATACCAGTGGATATGGAAAAAAGATGAAAATCGAAAGAGAAAAGAATATCAAAGATATTGTTCTCAATGGTCTTGGCCTATAGTGAAAGCAATTCTTGGAAAGTGTATCTTATCAGCCGTGATGAGTATTATTCTAGTGATCTGCATCTTCCGTTGTCCTCATAGTAGTATGACAAATAACTCATCTTCTCCCTATCCGAGAGTTGTTCTACCAACTACATATTTCTCTACACCCCTTTTCAAAGTTTCTTTGATTCCTGGTAGATCGCTTGCAACTTGGACGATGGGGATATTAGGTTTCCTATTTCTGTCCTTGTTTATGATCCAAGACTATTTGATTTACAAACCTTCTAAAGAATGGAGAGGATTTCCTGAAGATTTTGGTCTATCATTCTATGACAATGTTAGTTTGAAGACAAAGGATGGTCTCACCATTCATGGATGGTTTATCAAACAACACGATGACTATCAAAATGCTCCTACGATGTAAGTATAAGATATGAGTTTTATGAAAAGGTTCCAACTCAATTCTGTGGACAACAGGATCTATTTTCATGGTGCTGATAAGAATCACAGTTTTCGATTGATTAAAGCATTTGGATATTATGTAACCATGCGTTGTAATATCTTGTTGATGTCTTATAGAGGTTTTGGTCCTAATGAAGGACAACCAACGGAAGCCGGATTATGCTTAGATGCCGAAGCCATGATGGAATATCTCATACAAAATAGAAAGGATTTACGTCGTTCCTTTATCCTTTATGGTGAATCGTTGGGTGGTGCTGTTGCTATCTATTTAGCTGAAAAGTTTCAAAACTATTTGGATTGTTTGATCGTGGAAAACACATTTACTTCTCTTACGGATATGATGGAAGGGTTACATCTCATTATGGCACCTTTGAAATGGTTTTCCCAAAACAAATGGCCATCTTTACAAAGAATAAGAAATATTCGAATTCCTATATTGTTTCTTTCAGGATTAAGAGATGGCTTTGTACCTCCAAGGATGATGAAGACGTTGTATGATGAAGCTAAAGCAACAAACCTGAAAAAGTTTGTATCTTTTGTACACGGAACACATAATAGGACATGGATTATGGAAGGATATTATGAAGCATGGAAAGCATTTTTAGATGAGGTTTTCTCATCCACCCATGTGTGACTTTTTTCAAGGAAGGATTGGAATAGTCTTGTATAGTTGATTATCACGCATGTATCACTCCTTCTCAATATATATATATATATATATATGATGATAATTGAGGTTCCTTTATTATACCCTAGAAGAACTCGTTGTTCTAGACAAGGTCTTTCGCCTTGCATCCTTAAAGGCTTCGTCCAAAACTTCACTCAACGTAGGATGCGTGTGAACACAATATGATAAATCATAAACACTAGTATGATTAGCAATGGCATTGGCTGCTTCTTGTATCAAATCCGAAGCATGAATACCTATCATATGACAACCTAATAACTACACAAAATATGGATTCATTCAATAAACTTGTATCAAATGTACTTACCTCTCCAGTTTCTCGATTGAATAGGATTTTCGCCATTCCTTCTCCTTCCATTTCTGCTAAAGCTTTGGAATTGGCTCGAAAATATGCAACGCTCTTTTCCAACTTGAAGCCATGTTGAGATGCCTCTTCCTTCGCTTGAGGTTCTGTCAATCCAACATAAGCTATTTCGGGATGCGTAAAACATGCAGCAGGTATAGCACGGTGATTGACACGATGACGATTTCCCATAATGTTCTCAATAGCTGAAATTCCTTGCATGGAAGCTGCATGTGCAAGCATCATTTTTCCATTAGCATCTCCAATACAATAAATGTGAGGAATAACTTGATCACCTTTCATTACTTGCATATATTCATTGGTAGGAATAAATCCACCTCGAGCGAGTTCCTCTCCGAATGTTTCCAAGCCTATGTTCTGAGTATTTGGTTTCCTTCCAGTAGCTACAAGAACAGCATCTACTTGCAATTCACGACTAGTCATCTTTGTATGAGCATCTGATAATACCACATGAACAGGTTTCCCAGGTACTATTTTGGTGGCTAGTGAATGAGTATAGTACTCGATGGGTCGATCCTGAATAAGTAAACGGTTTGCAACTCTTGATATCTCAGGGTCAAAGCCTGGAATGAGATTGGGTAGAGCTTCTACAAAAGTAACTTCAGCTCCCAAAGAAGAATACACATCACTAAATTCCAATCCAATATAGCCACTACCAATAATAGCTATCCAAGAAGGTATCCATTCCAATTTCAATGCATGATCAGAAGTAAACACAGTCTTGTCGTCAACTTCAATGCCAGGTGGAACAAAGGGAACAGAACCAGGAGCTAAAATAATATCTTTCGCACTTATTGTTTCTCCATTTGCCAACTCAACCACTTGGGAAGACTTGCATTTGGCTCGAGAATGGATAACTTCAACACCCAAGGCCTTCAGGGAATTGCCAAGATTTCTTTGTATGCGGTTAGCTAAACCTTGTGCATGATCAGCTACAGCTTGTCGATCAACAGAAACATTGGCAACGTCAACTCCTAAGGACCGAAGATGCTGTCTATCACTCAACTCACGGATCCTCCTAGAGGAAGATAACAAAGCTTTTGACGGCACACAACCACGATTCACACAAGTACCACCAATCTCATGCGCTTCAAAGATACAAGTCTTCAAACCATTGGCAACCGCATGCATTGCAGCACCATGACCTCCCACACCTGCCCCGATAATGGCGACGTCATAATCGAACTCCCTTTTGTCCTCACAGACGACCAAGAATCGACTTCGAGCTTTCTTCAACCTAAACTGTAATATAGGAGCACTATCTCTTCTAAAACCAGAAAAGGAAATGAAAGCCGAACTGCGATTACTTGAAAGAAACTTTGAACAATAAAGAGCCTGTCCTTTCAACCGAGCACTTGTCCGTTTCTGGCGGCAATCTGTGTGCTGAAGAGCACTCTTCCAGCATACTAACTCTACAAAGCTGCAAAACATATTTTTCTGCTTCTCTCTCTTTATTTCTATAAATATATATATGTGTGTATATATATATATCAATAACCCTTTGCTCCCCTACACTTGTCAGATCGACAATACAGAAAAATGCTCAAAATTTGGCGCGATGAGGGAAACCCGAAAGGTATTTGTTAGCCTTTTGCTGTTTTCATCTAAAGGATTCTTCTATTAAGGAAGATGAAGGTTGTGGTTTGAATATTCACTAATGTGGTTTCTATGCAAGCGCTTATATTAGATAGGTAGTCACCATGTGAGCTAGTCTCCAAGTAAAACGCCAAAAGTTCACAGTGACGTTCACCTGTCTTTATTCATCACAAACGATATTTCTTCTCAATACCTAGTAATCCTAACAAAATAACAACTCTAAATTTGCCAAAGATGGCTATTTTTTCTTCTCTGAATCGTCAATATCTGATTTCTTACTCCAGTGTTTAAAAGTCAAGTACCCAACCTAGCCAAGAGTTTACTACAATTTGGCTTTGAAGGTTTAAATAACCTACACCAGCAACCACAATACTTATCACCGTAACTAGAGCAACTTTTTCTGGGAGAAACAGATGCACTACATATTAGTTGTAACAAATGGCAGTTGATTGTTACTGACACATACTTACTTGACGGCCTTGATTTACAGAATCTCAATAATGCCTTTGACTTGAATTGGGCAATATGAATGTGCATTGGCAAACTATGTTTGACAAGGTAGGCAGCATTGCAAAGGAGAATTCTCTACATAATGAACTTGTGATAATCTAGTGTGTTCCTCGTTTGAAAAGAATTCCTTGTAATCGTGAGTTTTTAGTTTCCCTATTTTTGACTGATGGGATGCACATCCGCCCCAACGAAGTGTCGTTTCTACAATCCAGAATCAACTCAGTAAGTCAACTTTTTCCTGTTTTGTGAATTCTTTTAAGAGATTCGGTAGAACGAAGACGATAAAGATGGTGACAGCGTCCATTTCGAGGAGGAAGAAGCTAGTTTTTTGACAGAGCCTTCTTTTCCAGCCATAGAAAGTGCAATCGACTCTGCGATCAAGGAGCTGGGTGGAACTGTCTTTCCAAAGCTATGCAAAGCCCCTATAGATGCTTCTTGGTACCGTTTACTGTTGTTTTTCTCCTACAATATCAACGTCTTTCTTTTAGGATATCTTATAATCACGACCTCAATTGTAACAGTACTGACGAGGTTTTGACAGTATTAAAGTGTTCAGAACGAGTAACCAAGTGTATATCAGAACTTTGCGATGAACAATTGAATAATACAGAGTTAGAACTACGCGAATGGTTTCATGTGCACCCAGGTGGTGAATGGCGTTGTTTCGTAAAAGATGGTATTTTGTTGGCGGCAACTCCCAGGGATATTTCTTGCAATCTTTCATTGACTGAACAAGATAGTCTACGAGTGAAAAGAATGTTGACAACTTTCTTTGAATCTCACAAAGGTAAGTCACTCATTGTTGCTTGGTTATGTCAGTTTTCTTGAAAAGCTCTTTATATAGAAGGTTTACGAGGCTGTTGGGTGATTGATGTTTATATGGATGAGCAGCAGTACATTTGGGTCTTTGATGTTGAAAGCTTTGCAACCAAAAAAAAACAAGATGAAGAGAACATATGGGGTTTGTTTTCTAAAGAAGAAGTGGAAGAATATTTTCACTTACGAGATACTCCACAAACACCTGTGATAAGAATTTTAGATGGACATTGGAATTTATTTCACAACCATAAAAAATGGAAAAGTGGGATGCCGTTGGAGTTGAGAACTTTGCACGCAGCAGAAGCTGTACAAAAAGCAGTATCTATAACAGTACGACAACAACAACAACCAGAACAAGTTTCTTCGCTACATCACAACTCCTGATTAAATGAAATCAGTTTGGTTACCAGGTAATGGTCTATACAGATTCTTGGTGGGATGGTTTTCTTCTACGGAGGAAAGATTATTGGACTCTGCTGAATTGGCGTTGTTTTGAGAATAAGCGGGAGGTGGTCGAATCACTTCATTCACCAAATTTTCATAAAATATTTGAGCCAATGTTCGGTGATCTTTCTTTGCGGCGGGACAAATGAGAACCACACCTCCAAATAGAAGACATATACCTATACCAAAGAAACCAATATCTCTCTTATTCCACTGAAGAAATTCTTCATAGTAAATGCCTCCTGCCAATAAACTAAACAATATCCAACAAATCTGCATCATTGGAAAGGCATAAGACACATCAAACAATTTCAAAGCATGGTTCAGTCGATTCATCCAGAATAGAGCTGCCGCAGTCAAACCCAATGGAATGAAGTAAGTCTCATAGTAAGTTAGTGGACCTGGAAAAGAGGATATCACTTGGGCAAACAACATGGAACTTCCCTTTGCCAATACAACCGACTAGATAAAATTGAGTACAACAAACAACTATTCAAGGCAATTACTTACAAAAGTACCCCAAACTGCGGAAGATAGGGCATATAATATAGCCAGAAATTGTCCTTCACGAAGAGAAGCCAAAGTTGGCTCGAACTTTGCGACGCCATGTCTTCTAGCAACTTTCTGCTTTATCTGTGTATAAGTTGTTGATGAAATCACCGAAATAAAAGCAATAACAAAGCCGTAACAAACAAACGGTGACTTTCCAAACAATAGAATCAAGTCTTCTACATCATAAGCTCTGGCTTCGTGCTTTCCAAACAAAACGACAAAAAAGCAACCCGATATAATCAATGCAGTTCCATAATAAGCGTTCATATCTGTCTGTTCTTTCAGAATGAAACGAGCGAATAAAACATGACTCAAGAATTGAAGAGAACTAAGTCCAGCCAACACAGATTGAGCAGCATAACGGTATGAGAAGAAGCCGGTAACGTTGCTAAAGAGAAACAAAAAAAGTCCTAACAACCACAAAGGAGTTTGAGAAAGTCTTCTTCTTTGTGAAGGAGCTAACATAAGACGTTGATTGATGGCAAGCTTTTGAAGATTCACTCCCAAATTGGTACCAACTGAACCTAGAACGGAAAGAACAATACCAATCCACCAAGAAGTAACGCTATGACCCAGAGGTATTGTTACCGGTGTTAGGTGTGGTGGCGAAGAAGAAGCTGTTTCTGACATTATGCACTAGTAACTAAAAAACTCTCAAAAAGTTGGTTGCAAGAAAAATTTATCAAGCCCCCGCAACCACTTTCTTCTTATTATTATACATTTGTCATTCCTTTACCAAAAGGATGTGGAATGGAAGACTTCACAACATTGCCTTTTTCGATACGCTATCAACATATTTCTATATTTATCCTTCAAGTCAACACAAGTTCTTTTGGGATGAAATGGATAGCTATATAAGATATTCTTCCAACGTCCAACTCCAAACTGGGATATTCCTATTCGCAAATTCATTTCTTCTTCAGGAGTAAATCTTATATAACTTTTCTTCCTTTTAGACTTGATGATACTTCTACTTCTCTTCTTCTTTGGCTGTAATCTGGAAGCTGAACAAAAATGGCCTCTGCAGGTTCCTTGTAGTATATGATGAAGGGACTTGTCCTTTTCTTGCATGTCAAACTTTGTCAAAGACATAGTAAAGTAAGGTAGGATTCCAAAAAGATTTGTATCTTTTCTGCAACTACTGTCAACAGCATCATTGTGCCATGTGAAAGACCCTCGACTAGACATTGATGGGTCTAATTTGAGTTTCTCTTCGATACAAGTCTTATTGATATTCCTAGGACGAGACTCCAGGCAAATATCTTTTTTGTCTGTTGTAACATATACTCGATTCTCCTCTAAAGAGGACGGGAGAATATGATTGCATCTTTCATATTTCTCTAGTTCTGGGTGTTTATATGTTGTAGACTCTAGACTAGAAAATAATTGCTTTCTTCTCAATAAAGAATCTGCCAAGCCAATAATAACAAGTTCTTCTTTCCAATCCAAAGCATCATTGTGCAGTAGATTATAAGACTCATTCTTTGTAGCAAATGTTCTATCGAGGGAAAGGATATGTTGCATAGTAGCTACTAGTAAAGTTATTGAGAAGAAAGAAACGACGACTACAGAAGGAACAGCTGTTGCCTAGAATTCAATACTAAAAATTTCTTGAATGTGGAGTAAGATTTCTCTTTCGAGTCTCATCATCCGCCTCTCCTTTCCGTTATTCCGTTTAGATTCGTTTCCCATTGATTTGGCCAATGTCACATGATTCATTTCTATTCTCTCTTTTCGATCAAACGAATCCTTCATAGCCTAAAGTATATTTTTCCAAGAATACAAGTTTCATAATGATAATATGAAATATTGTTATTATTTATATCCTTTTTAGAATAACGATGATACTTCAAAGAATGGTAAGACTCGACAATTCTACCATCACTTATGAGACAATTCTAGAGACACAACACATTTTAAGAATCAACTTGTTATGATAAGGTGAGAATAGAACATTTTTTTCTTCTTTTGAACGACTACTCACTCTGTTATATTCTTGACTAGAAGAATGTGCTTTTCTTGCTCAAATGAAGGTTTACATTGATACCATATATTCAAAAGTTCGAATGGTATGTTCTCGATAATCATACCGGAAGAAACTCAATTCTCTTAGAGTTATTTCCATATATAAAGACTTGAATATGACTGACAAGAATAGCAAAGCCAATAACAGAATGGATCCTTCCATTCACATGTCCTTCATTGCATTATCATTGCCTTGTGTTACTTTAACAACCTTTTCACAACAAAACAAACAGGTTGGCAAGTTGCGCTCCAGCTTAGTTTCAAAGAGTGTATTGATTCCCAGCAGATGCAAACTCGATGCTTTCAGAATACGTCACGGACACAGACCATCACCTCTTTGGTTGACTTGTCAAGATTCAAACTCATCTTCCAATTGGAGTACACACAAGTTGAGAACTTGGAGTCGCATTGTTCTAGGGGTTGCTATACTTTATGCTATAGATAGATGTTTTGCTTTTACTTTGAATCGCTTTGCAGTAAACTTCCCCAGTTCGTTGGCTGGAATGTTGACTATTTTTATCCTGTTATTGGCTTTTCAGAATAAGAAGTTGGGATCTCTTTCTATCAGTCAACATATATTTGATGGGTTTCTTCCTTCTGTTCAGTTTCTATCCAGATGGTTGGCAGTATTTTTTGTGCCAAACTTGGTCATGTTACCTCTCTTTCCTGTGAAGGATCCCTTGGAACTGACGAAAATGGGTGTCTTAATTGTCGTAAGTTATTCCTTTTACTATGAAGATATCGCTCAAACACAATATAGATTTGTCTAGTCGCCACATTACTCTTTACAGCATTTCTTTCTTCATTTCTAGGTAGGAAAGAGAGTCAGTGGAAGAAGTTGTCTGTTCAGTCTTCAGTTACTTCACTGAAGACCTATACGAGTCCTCCAAGTGTTTTTATTATCTCTTTTTGGAGTTTAATTAGTATCTCGAGTGCCATTGGATTGTATTATCAGAAACGACTATCTTATGCATTCTTTTATTTGTATTCTTTATCGACCACTTTATCCGGTTTTTGTTTAGGACAGTGGATTCCAGTTGAGATGAAAAAGTTTATCCATCCTATCACATTTTGTACTCTTTTTGCTATGTTGAGTTTATTTCTGATTGCAAAGTGGATTGCGATACCTTTTCATGTTACGCTGAACACTTATTTAAGAAGAGGAGTTGGATTGTGGAAGGGAGGTGCTGGCAGTTTATTATTGACATTCTTATCACCTGCAGTTGTATCGTTTGCCTTTCAAATGTATTCCAGAAAAAAATTTTTGCAACAATATATGTTTACCTTGTTATCCAGTTGTACACTTGCTTCATTGTTCGGACTCTTTAGTACTGCGTATGTGGCAAAGTTGTTGCAACTTTCTCCCATTACTCGTGTTTCCTTGATTCCTCGTTCCATTACAGTGGTAAGAGAATGCTATTGGAAACTGTCAAGCAACTCATAATTGTATAGCCTTTAGCAGTTGCCATATCTTCCATGTTGAATGGCGATATCTCATTGACTTCTACAGCAGTAGCAGTAACTGGAATGATAGGTGCCAATATAAACAAGGAATTGTTATCTTTGTTAGGTATCCATCAATCTGTTGCTAGAGGAATATCTACCGGCGCAAGGTACGTGTTTCATAGGATACGTGATAACAAAGAGTGAGAAAATGGTTAGTGCTCATGGCTTAGGTACGGCTGCAATGGCAGAAGAACCTGAAGCATTTCCTTTTGCTGCCATATCGATGACTTTGGTTGCAACTATATCCACTATTTTGACTAGTTTTCCTTTGATTCGTCGTTGGTTATTATGGGTGGCAGGAATATAAAGTGATCCAAATACAACAACTTGAAGAGATTCATTGACCCATTCTTCTTCTTATTGGGTTTTTTGTCATGACCACTATGCAAGGTGGTCCTCGTCCTCGTCAAGGTTTACCAAGGTACCAAATGCCTGAAGCGGTGATGGAATTGTTTCGTCCACGTGAACCGCTTCCTTACATACCACCTCCCAAAAAGAGAAAGTTAAGACCACTTGTTGGTGTTGCCCCACTGCTTGACCAGATCTCACAATATAAGCAGCAAGTCAATCGACCGCGTTGGGAAGAAAATGGAGAAACTTTTGAAACTCCAGCTATGAGAAGAGAAAGGAAACGAAAAGAAAAAAGAGAAAAGTTTTTGCAGTGGAAACAAAAACTATGGGAACAATATAGCCCACCATCGGAACCCAACGCAACTTCGGATGCACAAAAAACACTGTTTATTGCAAGATTAGTAAGTACAAATATTCCATTATTGCTTTTGATAACGGATGGATATAGAAACCTGAAACAACCCAACTGAAACTGCAAGCAGAACTGGAGGCTTTTGGAAAGGTGAAAGAAATAAAGTTGCCTATATCCCAAAAGACAGGGCTTCCAAAGGGATATGCTTTTGTGGAATTTCAGAAAGAAAGAGACATGAGAGAAGCACTTAGAGCACTTGAAGGAAAACGAATAGATGGTGCAAGAGTAATCGTTGACGTGGAAAAGGCGAGAACTACAAAAAATTGGTTACCCAAGAAGTTGCGAACTGAAACCGTAGAAGATAGAGACACTAAAGCAGATAAGATGAAAACAGTTTCGCCACCTCCTAGTATCAAAGAACGACATTCTTCTCCTCCACGAAGAGTCAGAGGCTTTAGGCCTAACCATTCTGATAGATATAGGAGGAATAGGTCATAAGAAGGGAGGGATGTTATTGTTGTTGTTCTTTATTTTGATCTCTTATGTAAACTCACAAATGACATCATGTATTTTTCTTTTGGAATAAAAGTTATCAAGCACAATATTTCGAGACAATTGTGATATAAGTAATTTCTTTGGTATTCATTCCGTCAGTCATTAGAATGCCATGAAGAAAAATGCATTTGAGCGCCTTTATAACGCACCTTCATTTTACATTCTTTATTGTGGAATTGTTCAACTTGGGAATGGACAAGTCTCCTCTTCGACTTGGTTCTTTTCTTATCAAAGGTGCTGCAGGTACAGTACGTTCTTCTCTTTATGGTGATGGTGCAAACAGAACGCTTCAAAGATTTGGGCTCATGTCCAGTAAAACCAAGAGGGCCAATGGCAAGCATATGTCTCCTGCAGAGTCTCACCTTACTCTTTGTTTAAAACACCTTTTTTTACAGCCACGAGTAAGGTTGCGTAGTGTCATGTTCGTTCACTTTCTGTGTACACCCTTGGTGCTACTTCTGCTTTATGCATTGTATTTTCCAGGCTATTACGAGTTTTGGCTATATTTTGCCATGCACTCGACTCGAGCTTGGTTGTGGATTCTGAAAAACGTCTGTTTTCCAGATTTCATATTTAGCAGGCAGAAAGTTACTATTTTTGGTACTCTAGTATTGTTTGCGTTACTGAGCTTTTACTGGGTTGCCCCTTGGATCTTGGCTTCTAACAGAAATTACTTTGCAGTTCCCTATCCCATTGCAGGTTTGCTTGTTTCTTGCTGGGGAGTTGGGATTGGAATCAATTTTGCAGCTGATGCACAGAAATACTTTATGTTACGAGAACGAAAGATGCTGGTGAAGGATGGAGTGTTTAGTCGTTGCAGACATCCTGCATATCTTGGAGACCTATTGTCTTATGCAAGCATGACTATGTTGAGTGCCCATTGGTTGCCATTCCTCATTTATATATTCTTTTTTTTTACTGTTTTTCTTCCTCTTATCTATCGCATAAGAGTAAAAATTTGGCTAGATATTCGGAGTGGCCTCAATATAGGAGCGAGACAGGTCTTTTATTTCCGAAATTGGATGGAAGCTATTTCCATTCAATATGGGATTCTTACATGATCCAGTCGATTGACTTAAATTTGAGCTGCTCAAAGAAAAGCAACTATTCGTCAAGCAATGGTTCTTCGGTGAGGTTTACTAACCGTTCTGCCCGACACGAGAACGGTGAAGATATGCAAGGTTGATATAGAGTGTGTAGGAAATGTGAAAGTAGCATAGAATTAGAAATGGAAAGGATATGTTTCGTTCAAGTTGTGTGAATATGATCGAACAAAGGATCCACAAACAACAACCCATAAATAATGTAACAATTTCATTACGTGATATGGTATTGTTGTAGAAGAGCGATTCTCTCAATGCCCAACAATTTGTTGCTTCCAGGATCCAACAACGTAGCTTCAACAAGCAACGCAACTGCAAACAAGAAACGTTATAGTTGGGCACTCGTTGCCGTGGTGTTGTTTGTTGGAAGAGCTATTAGAGTATTGACCTCTTGGGACACCTATCACTTTTTACACTCCTCTTCCACTCCAATCAGTATTTTCGCTTGTTATTCTTTTTTCTGGGCCTCAGCGATTCTTTGTTTACTTCAACGTCCTTGGAAAGGAAAACGAATTTCAAAGAGACGGCTTAGTAGAGTGTGTCTTTTAAGCTGCATTATAGCAGTAGCCCTCGTGTGCTGGATACAAGGGCTCTATTGGTGTGGAATATTCCGTGTTTTGTTTTTTGATGGTGCAGAATTACCACTTGTATTCATATACTCCTTATTTGGTTCCGGAGAAAGCTTTCGAAGACAGAAACTTCGCGGACTTGTGGTGGTCGGTCTCTCGTTTCTATTGCTATTCACCAGTCCTTTTATTTCTTCCATGCTTAGCTTTCAACCAAGTTCCGTTGAAAATGTGGGTAAACAGCACGCTTCTGTTGTAGATGAGAAATCGACGGTTTCGGTGCTTTCGAAATTGCGAAGTTTTGCGACAAAACCATCTCCTGTAGATATCTCACCAGACGAGGAGAGTACATCATCGTGGTCGGATCCAAATGCTCATAGGGAGAGTGTGCGTCAACTTTTTGCAGAAGATGTCATTGAAGGAGACAAGAACTTGGCTTATGATGGATCATGGAATGTATCTCCCTTTGGTATTCTGCTCGTCACCATATCTTCCATTTTATTTGTGCTCTATCGTCTCTTTTCTTTGAAAATTTCATCCAACTTGGATGGTCCGAAGAGAGTCTTTGCAATCAGCAACTCTCTTGCAGTTTTGATTTTGCTTCCAATTTGTATTTTCCAGCAATGGTTTGTTGTGTATTCAGATGCAACCCATCCATGGCCTTCATTGATCCTGCACTCATGTTCCTTTGCATTGGGATGGATTGTGATACCCTTCTATGTCCAGTCATTCGTTTCTTCAAAGATGGGTCACCTTGGAAGTACAGAATTAAATTTCGGAAGCACCTTGGTAACTTTGACCATCTTAAACGCTTGCACTTCATTATCCTGGAGTCTGATTCCAGAACTTATCAGCGGTGTTTTGCAACTGGTTGGCATCCACTCCCTGTTATCATCAGGAAGGCAAATAAAGTCATATGGTAAGGAATCTTCATTTCTCTGCTTTCTTTTGATTTCTTCTCTTTCCATTAGATATGAACGCAGCACTTGAAGGCGAATTATAAAAAGGATAAAGCTTTTACACTTGACAAACTGATTGTGCAATAGCAACTTCTGTTTGATTCACTAATCACTAGAATAAAGCCTCTTCTTCCTCTTCGAAGCAATTTAAATGAACACTATAATGGGACAATTCCTAGTCTTCCAAACGATGTTTTTCCCATCTCAAATATTGTAGTAATAACTCTGGCATTAAAATATAGCCTTTTTTACACTTCGAGAAAAGGAAGTATTCATTGGGTTTAAGCCAATAATTCAAAAAATATTAAAATTCCGCTTACAAAAATAAATATTGATACACTAAAAATTAATCAGAATTAAAAAAATTTGAACGATTGCATGCGCTCAAACAAGAAGCAGCATATAAAAATTTTAACTTGTTCTAGTTTATTCTGAAATTTATTTAACAACTTTTTCTGAGTATTTTTTTAAAGATTGCAGTAGCAAAAAGTTACTACTGGCGTACAATTTTAATTTCATACGTTCATTGCAAAAATTATAAACTGTAATTCTAACATTTTAAGCGATTTTGTTTTAGTTTCTTTGGAAATTCGAACGTTGTTTCTTTCTTTTGGCATTTTTTGAGTTTTTTAATCTTTTGCATTCTTTTTTGTATATTTATCTTGAGCAGTTTACTGAGGGCCTGTTTCTTACTTTCGCTTTTGATGGAATATCTTGGACCAAACAGACGTGGTAGACCTGGCAAATCTTATGGAGTCAAATCCCGTAGGAGCGCTTCTGTTTCGAACCGTCCTCCCAGAAAAGAGTCGTTTTTGTGGGACAACTCTAAGCGTTTTATTGAGGACGAGTCTGGGAAGGACGCTGAATTTTTTTCGCTGGACTTAGAAACGTCATCCAGTCCTTTGTTGAAGCGCACAGTTTTGGAGGATGATATTGTAGACGATGAGAATTTTTCTTTCATAGAGAAGTTTGAATTTTCGATAAGAGACTTATCTCCTGGGGAAATCTCTCGCAAAGTCTTGTACTCGACGGCGTCAGACTCGCAGAGTTTCTCACAGAAGGTACATTTCCTAGACGTAGAGTTCGATTCGGCCAAAGATTCAAACTCTGTAAAAAAAATTGAAGTTGAAACAGCTGATGAAAAAAAACAAAGTGATATTGAACTACTATCGTCGGCGTCAAACGAGGCTTTTGATGATTGGTTTGACAAGTTGAATTTAAAGTGATTTTCACGACAATACCACTATAAGTGGTTTCCAGTTTTCTCTACATCGTTGAACGGTTTATTTTTTTTTTTTGATATCCGTCGCTCTTCAATGTCATTGAAGAAAGATATGCCCTTATGGAACTGCCACATTTGGTTGATCATCGACTCTAAGATTTTCTTGTTCAGAAGAGCACATACATACATACATACACACACACACACACACACAGAGAGAGAGAGAGAGAGAGACAGAAAGAGGTCACTTGCTTTGGTTTATTAAATACACGGGCATCGCGGCCTAGTTTTCTATTTGAAATAATATACAAAAGCTTTACACAAACGAAAAGCAATTCAATAGTCGTTGGGAAAAATGAGTGTTGGATGAGCGATCATTATGCCATTTTTACTACTGTAAGTAATCAATTCATGGACTCAATAAACCGAATAAATAGCAGAATTAATAGAATTTGAGCAGTAATTACTGAATTATCACTGGAAGCTAAAGATATAAGAAAAAAATCAGGATGCATTTGGTATCAAGAACTCCATTCCTTACGTAGTATGAGATATCTACTCCAGAAAGTTCGATGTGAAGCAGTACGAGATTTGACAAGATAACTAATGAATCCAATGAATATTGCCATGATTTAGAATACTAAGCTTACAACAAAATGCACGTTGCGGTATCAGATAGGCAGCAAACATTGCTTTGGATAAATGTCTGCCATCCACAGAAGCACTTGTACTTTGCTCTATCTCTGAACTGGACTCTTCACTATTTAAAGTAACTATTTTTAGTCCTTTAATACACGTTTCAACTTCCAAGGTTTCTGAATGACACTAAAATAGATAAGTAAGACGCTGTATCACTTGGAAACCTAAGAGCATACTTTGATATGAAGCTCAGCAGCTTGGGTTGACTGAAGTGTAAGCTGTATAGACTGACTGACATGTCGGAATTTTTCTATGAGAATGGCAATCTTTTGTAGAGGACTTAAAACTACTCCACTACAAGGTGGAAGATTAGGTTCAGCAAGTTCTTCAATTTGTGTCGGAGTAATTACACGAACTGGTACATCTTGGATAATATTTGAAGTCTAAAGTTTTTATAGCAAAGCTCCAAGTCAGATAGAAGGAAAGAAGCAAACGGGAGACATACCAAGGTCTGGATGTGAAACGATATACAAGCCTGTTCCTTTTTTGATAGCTTCATAATGACTCCAGCAGCGTTGGAAGAAGCACGAATACTATATCAATAATGTCAAAGGCGTCCTGATATTCGTTAGTCTCAAACATACGCGTCTTCGAAAGCAGACAACTGAAATTCCAATCCTATGAGGTTGTGATACTTGCTTTCTATTCGATAATCTTCAAAGAATTCAGACTTGAGAGGGTTATGAAAATTAAGAGAAACTGTGAGAAAAGAGTTACCTTTCGTAGAAGAGCCGAGGTATATAGTCCGTTGAACGCATCTGCCTTTGTGACCAGACGTATTTCTTCGTCCGCTTCAGAACAAAGAATGAGAAAGGCCGTTTTCTCCACTTTTTGTAATACAGATAAAAGTTCTGAAAGGTGACTTGTTAGCAGAGACTAAATATTCTCGACTGAACATACTCGCAAAGACAACAACTTTGTTCACCACGAGCAAAGTTCGAAATTTCATCGAGGCGAAATGAAATGCTAATCATAAACTATTTGGCATTTTTTCCTGGAAAAATGGCGCCTTGGCCCTTAAAAAAAATGACGACCCAAAATTCTTCCTTTTTCTATAAGAAATTCGTTTTTACTCTCAAGAGCATTTGTATTGTTCGCCATGTAAGAAAGCAATCTCGGAAAAATTATTTTATCAGCTTCTCGAAAGCAAACATGCTTGTATTGAACGAACAGAAGAAAAAGCAACAGAAAACTTGATGTAATCCATGTCTTCCTCCAATCCCGTTGATTCATTCTAACTGATGTCATTGATGGACTTGGAGCATGATTTCTTCGGAATATTAGAAGATTTAGAGAATCTTAATGTGATTGAAGAAGAAACATTAGAACCAAGTCATGAAACTTCACAAATAGAGTCTTCTGTAGAAGCAATTTTAGAGCTTCTAGCTTCGGATTTTGTCCTTTGTAAAATATCTTCTGGCTTCTACGTAGAAGAGTTACCGGTTTCGTCGGAACTTTTATTTGTGTTTGACTTGAATGGAACTCTGATTTGTGAAGAAAGATACTATAACAGACACAAAAAGTCATACAATAGAAGATTTTATCTAAGAGATTATTGTCGAGTGCTTTTGGACTTTCTCTGTAAACATTGTCGAGTAGCAGTTTGGAGCTCAGCAATATTCCGAAACACACAGATCCGTAGTCGGTTTGCTTTTGATATGTACTATGAAAAGCTGTTATTTGTTTGGGATCGTTCTCAGTGTACTAAAAAATATTCCGACAAGAACCCACACGCCACCGAGAAGGATCTTCAAAAAGTTTGGAAGAAGATTTCAGGCACAGAAGCAAAGAATACTGTGATTGTTGACGATGATCATTATAAAGTGGAATCCTATCCTCGAAATTGTATTCTAGTTGTTCCAGCAACCAAGAGTAACAACTCTGATTCGGAAAAGGATCCTACTTTATTGAGACTTTTATGGTATATAGAATATCTTCATTTAGGAATGTCGCGCGTTGATGATGTTCGAGTCATCATGGATGTGTTGCCGTTTAGGAGGTTTGTGCAACTTATTGAGTGGTTTTCTCCCAAAATGCTATGATAAAGAATAGTTACTTTGCTTTTCATGATAACATTCAAAAGTGCTTTCAATTAGCTCGTTGCAATTTACATTTCGTGTTATTGAATGTCACTGAGATGTTCTGTTCCTTTGTCATTATACTATTTTTGGAAACAATTCTAAACTATGGCTTTGTTCTATTGCTATTTGTACAGATTATTCGAAAACTTGTCATTTATTTCACTCATCATTACAAGGAAAGATATTTGTTGATATGTCATTTTGACAATATTTCATTGCAGAAAGAACAAGTGGCAAATTGACGCTGTTGTTATACTCATTGAGCTACATTTAAGCTATTCATCAATGATTCAAGTCGAAATATTTTTGGATTATATATTCTTCATGGCGTTGCTTTTGATGAGTTTGAAAACGAATCTCTTCATGACTATTTGGCATAACATATCAGGAAAAAATGCTATTCAAGGCTTCAAAAAATTTCCACTCTTTTTGGCGCCAAGTTGCGGCATCTTTTGTCATTACTAACAAAAAAAATATTGTTGTTGAGATGAATCGTCTGAAAGACTTCTGTAACAAGGTACAAGTGGTGACTCAAGTCTTGTCATGTGAGGATATTTTAGAAGGACAACTGGATGAGAGTCTCATTCTAGAGTTAAGTGACTCATTGTCATCCTGTCTTACTTTGACTACAAGGGAACAAGGAGAAGAGCTGCTCAACTACAGTATTTCACTTTGGAACTATCTGGTAGAGTATAATGATAGAATCTCACAAGAAAAGGAAGACTTCCGGAGTATTCTCATCAAGCTTCTGCATGTAGCTGCAGATGCAATATGTGTAGCACTATCATGTCTCAGTGGGATGTCAGGCAATTTTAACATAGATTGGTGTAAGTTGAACTTGTTTGTTTCGTCTACAAAACCTTGGTTTCATTACGATTGTTTAGTTCTTGTGGCTAGCCAATTTTCAGTAATAGGATTGATGTACCTTGAGATGAATCTATCGGAACTTTCCAAAACTTGCTTTGAAAGATGTTTAGAGATTATAAATACGAATAGGAATTACATATGCCAAAAAAGAGATCAAGAAGCAACGAATGTGACCTTTGATGCGTTCCTAGGCTTGGGAAAAGTGGCATGGCTAGTCCGTGACTATTCATCCTTGTTGAAGAACTTTGAAGCGAGTGGACAACTGGCAGTGGATCAGAACAAAATTGAGTATTTGGCCAAAGTTGAATACAATGCAGCACTTTCTTGTTTGGATCATTCAGAAGTCGACATTTCTATTTCTATTCTAAGAATAGCACTGGAGACGCTCTCCAGACATAATCTATATCATATATTGTGTTGTCTTACTTCCAAGATTTTGAGATTGCTCGCCTTTGGTTACATTTACAAGAAAGATTTTCATCAACTAAACAAATGCATTGAACAAGCAGAGAAACTAAATCATTCCCCTCGTTCCATTTGTTTAAAGATACGATACGTTTGTCAGTATGATGCGGAAAACGAATCATATCTGGAAGACTTGATAAACCAACTTGTTTCGGATCCTGACATCGAGATAGATAGCTTAGATGATGTCTTCAATCTTCTGAAAGGATCAAGTAAGCATTTGCCTCAACTATTATCAGCCTACAAGGTAATGAAAGATAGAATATCGGAATCCAAGAGAATACAACAACTTCAAGTATCCCTGAAAATAGCTGAAATACAAGTCCTACTCAGAAGTCTCAATCAAGTACCTCAAACACTTTCGGAACTCATGGAAGAAACTAGAGCCATTTTAATGTCAGATCAAGATGCTTCCGAGAAACTTGAAAACATGTGGAAACAGTTCATTGAAACCATGGCATTATATATCTCTAACACCGAATTGGAAGACGCAAAACAAATCACTGAAACGATCATCCATATACTTGGCGTTCTTGAACCACTTTGGTCTGCCAAAGTAGAGACCGAAAAGCAAACCACGCTCTTGCCATCTCTGGTACTCGTTTACTCCGGAGTTGTCCCGATGAGCTTGATTTGTGTTTTTTTATCCGATACTGAAGAAGATAAGCAAATCTGGATGAACCACACAAGAAAGTTGACAGAAAAGCTCTTGGAATGGGAACCGGAGTCGGTTATCGGTGGTTTAACGTGGATATTACTAACGGGAAATTTCCACATAGAAAGACCGTTTGACGCATATTCTCATCTGCATAAAGTAGCTGCTTGTATTGTGCGGTCGTGTTGTGAATACAAGAGAGACAACGTTGTCGACTCGGTTGTCATTCTCGTAAACATACTAGCCACTAGTTTGGACCAAATACCTCAAGTCGAGCTTGCTCATATGCCTGAGGAGTTTCAGAAACTTGTGATACTGTCCTTTCTACTTGTCAATGCATTTATGGAATTGAATTTTGAAAGCTTTGTCGCTTACCAAGAAAATGATGACAGTTGGATTCCACTCCATCAAATTGGAATGTATCTTTGGAAAGCTCGACATACAACAGCATTCAGAGATATGCAAGAAATGGAACAGTCTCTTATTTGGGAAAGCTTTCTAACAACAATTTGGAAGTTGGGTCAGATATTGTACAAAAAGAAACGTTATATGGATGCCTCCAAGTTTTTTAGATGCTTCAGAATAATTGCTGCTGAAAGAGACAAATATGATATGAATGCTGTGTTGCAGAGTTCATTGCTCGAGTTAACTTGCTTGTTAACAAACAATGATGTTAACATTCTGGAAGGTGCTGCTCAGTTGCTTGAACAAATCTACTGTCGAATGAACATAGGATCTATTCGTATTTTGGATAGAGAAATGAACAAATATCAATGTGCTTATTTGCTATGTAAGGCTTGTTATTTGGTAAGAACTCATAACCCCAGTGAACTGGCAAAGTTAGTGGAAGATGCTTCTGTTCTACCATATCCACAGTTTCAGGATATGCTTGTAGACATACAACGTAGCCTAACATGAGCAAAGATAACTTCCTTTTCTGCCAAATGTGAAGACGTTGTTGTCTCGTAACGCTTTGAATTCGTGGAACAAAATAACGCAACTAAGATAAATAGCAGAAGCCACTTAGGTCAACCTTATTTACTTGGAAAAGAAATTGCCTGTTCAGTCTATTCCTTCCGTTCCTCTTTGCCAAGGAAATCGACCGCTGTATATTGAAACCCAAGTAAAGGTGGTGATGAACTGTGCCGAGAAAACTTCAAAAGCAGCAATACCAACGACTTGTGGTGTTGGTTCTAGCTACCCATAGGGTTTTCAAGTCCGCTTTTCCTTTTTTCCTCTTCAAGTCGCATGCGAAGTTCTTCGTCGGTTGGCAAAGACTGGGTATCTTGAGTCTCTCAGATATGACAAGTGACTAACAAGCTTACCAGATCAGGTTTCTCCACGAAGTGAACGACCACCGACCCTGCAAACATAGAACCCAAAGTAGACAAATATAAAATGATCCATTTACCCATTCCTAGTCTTTCCGCGGCTGCCATTTGATCAAGAAAGTGGAAATGGCGATGAACAATAGAATTGAGCTGTTCATTTTAAATTACTGCATATTTTTATATATATCATCTTTGATAATGGCAAGATACCTGATCTCATTTTCTTGGATTTCATCACTTGTCGATTTCCTATGTCAGAAGAAGAAACAGATTTTCGAGGTGGTAAGAATTGTGTAAACATAAAAGTGACCTTATTGAAAACGTGGAATAGGGAACTATGATTCTGTAGCTATTCCAAAAACAACCGTTAACAAAGTCGCCACCGAAGTTTTAGGAAGTGCGGGTAAGTTATTGCGGAAACATTTGTTTTTTTAACTTTTTGTAGGTGTTCACCTCTCTTCAGATGCCAAAGAGCTGTTGGTTGGGTTTTGTTCTGGTACGTTGGAAAGACAATAATATATATGTGTGTGTTTGTTGACATTTCAAAGAATTTGTGCAGCTCATAAGTTCACACGCCAACCAACTATGTGAAAAAGAAAGCAAAAGAGTTATTTCACCGGAACATATTTTGCAGTCTTTGGAAGAACTTGGGTTTGGAGGTGAGCGTGTTGTGTCTATGTTTGTGTAGAAATAGAAGTTCACCACCTTAATAGACTATTGCCAAGAAGTGAAACAAGTTTATGAAGAGTTTTTGGAAATCGAAAAGGTCAGTTGACGTTGGTGTTGTCACGTTTGTCATTTCTGAATGGGTTTATGTCGTATAGCGTCGTTCCAAGACAAGTTGGACAAGAATGACTGAACGAACTGGACTGACAGAAGAGGAGTTGATTCGACAGTAAGAAAGCTTTACCATAGTTTTGCAGTGGGTCGAATCCACTCATGGATGCTTAGACAAGAAGAACTTTTTGCCAAGGCAAGAGAGAATCCGTTGGCTGACCTGGACGAGTAAAAAACATGTTATATGTCCTTTGTGAAACTTTCCTTTGAATAAAATGCGTAGAGACAATTTATCCATCACGTTGATATAGTCATTTATCAATGAATCTGTTCATTTATTCTGACACAAAATCAATATTGAAATCCGAATCAATCATATGTTTGAAACGAGTTTTCGAGTGCAACAAAAACAAAAGTATTACACGACATTTAAACGAGGATCCAAAGGCTTTCCAATCGCATACACAACAAAGCCCAATTTCCGGAGATATTCATGACTTAAAACATTTCGACCATCAAATATAAATGCGGGCTTCTCCATAATACTCAAAATTTTTTCAAAGTTGAGATCCTGGCGTCAACAATATCAGTTTGCTACACAAAATGAAGAGAAACAGCTCAACGTACACGAAACTCATCCCATTCTGTACAAACAACTAAAGCATGACTTCCCTTTGCTGCGTCGTATGGATTCGATGAAATATGAACCAATTTTTCCAGTTCTAAACGATCCATTTTGGATGCCGTTGTGATATCTTGCCATATCTTTATATGTTGATTGTGGAAAATGTTCAGCATTTCTTCAATATCTGTATCGGCGTACATACCTGAGTTTCATAAACCTTTGGGTCATAAATAGCCAAATGAGCTCTTTCATCCACCAGACGTTGACAAACACTAATTGCTGCGGATTCACGAGTGTCTCCAGTGTCCTTCTTAAAAGAGAATCTAAAAAGCACGAAACGTTTCAATGTGACTTCCAATGAAAATACTCTGACAAACCCTAAAATGGCAATGCGTTTTCCAGTAACTGTGTTAAATAATCCATGAATAATACGTGAAACAAAACGATCCTTCTGTAGGTCATTCATTCGAACAACCCAATGAAAATATTCTGCAATGTCCTTTAATCCCATGCTTTCTGAAAGGTAGACAAGGTTGAGAATGTCCTTTTGAAAACAGCTTCCACCAAAACCGACGGATGCCTTTAAAAATTTTGAACCGATTCGACTATCCATTCCGACTGCCATTGATACCTATTTTCTAATGAGCATTTCGACTATAGACTCCATTATTGTCGAACCTCGTCAACATCTGCACCACTTGATTCACACAAGGCGCTCACGGCGTTGATGCTAGATACACGTTGAGCCAAAAAAAAGTTGGCTACAAGTTTGCTCAACTCTGAACTCCATACATTGGTGGTTATGATTCTTTCCTTCGGGACCTAAATAAACTTGAGTAACTGCAAGCTATCTACATTGGAACATAACAACTTACCCAATGAGAGTAAATATCGACAAGTTCTCCAACTGCTTTGATACCATCTTCATCCTTGAGGTTACCACCAATCAGGATTCGATCGGGATTTTCCAAATCTCTTACAGCCGTTCCTTCCACAGATAAATTTAAGAGAAACGGATCAGTTATTCATAGCAGTACCTTCAGCCAAAAATTCTGGGTTACTAAGAATCTGGAACTTGGTTGTACCCGAAGCATTCAACACTGTCGAAATGGCTTCAGCTGTTCTTATAGGAACTGTACTTTTTTCCACAATGATCTTTGGACTTTTCGCAATTTTTGCTATTCTTCTAGCAGCAAGTTCCCAATAAGTGAGATCTGCTGCACGTCCAGCACCGAGACCATCCTTTTGAAAAGTAAGTCCACAATCTTTTTAAAAACTTTTTCGCCAACCTTTTTGGTGGGTGTGTTGACAGCTACAAATATCATATTTGCTCTTTCAATCGCTCCGTCTATGTCTGTAGAGAAAAAAAGGTTCTTTCCGCGGGTATTCTATTGATATTATCAATCACACCAAAACAAACATCAGATACACCAAGTAGCCCTACCACTACAGCCTCCTTCAATCCTGGTTCATATATAGGTAACTCGGATTCCTCTTCGGAATTCCAAGAGTCGATTCTTCTTTGTGAAATATCTACAACCTTGGTAAAATCATTGACTATTTATTCTTCAAGAGCGAATGAAAAGGTTACGAACCGTGACATCAATCTTTGGACACATTTTGGCGACAACAGCCATAGTTGGTCCACCAACATATCCAGCTCCAATACAACAGACTTGATAACGACCTGTCGAACCCATATCTGTCAATGTCTCTCCAAAACAGAAAAATCAAAATGGTGATGAGGCGCGATTTGTGTCTAAGAGGAGGGAAAAATTCTTTGCGTGGAAAAATTATCGCGCCTTTTTTTTAGAAAAAAAATGTTTGAAATCTCAGTCTTGGCGGAATACATACATATGTATAACTGAATATGTGTTGAGTAGTAATTTGAAGCGTAACATATGAGTATTTGTCACAAGTCAATAGAGACCAGGAAATGGCAACAAACAAAGCATTCCACACTGATGCCAAAGAGTTGTCTTTGTCACCGTAAATGGGAACTGACAGGGTACTTTGTTATTATGGGGAGTGTGGCCATGGCATTCTCTTGGCTTTTGTTACAAAAAACCCATAGTGTCGTCAGCACTCGTTGTTCGTCTTTCAAAAAGCAAACAGTACAACAGTTTTGTTATATCTGCAACTGGAAAAACGCCCGACCAACCTCTTGTTTTCTACCTGTGCGTTTGTTCAAATGGAGAAAGTTTTTGCCTCATTCTGCACCTAGCTTTCAAACTTGGAAACAGAGTATAGCAGTCAAGTTTGCTTTTGATTTTTCAACTTTCGTTAGCAGTACCTTTTTTATTTCTGGGGTCGCAATTTTCGGTGCAGTGGGTCTCCATCGAAGCCGAGATGAACTTGTTGCCTCTAGGGTAGGGCTGCAACTGCTGTTTTTTTGCGTAATTGTTTCACGTTCCAGTAAATAGGAAAAGTTGTCTTGTTCCAATTTAACAGAGTTAGAAGAGGAACACGAGTTACCGAGTATTTCAGACTATCGATTTGACGACCCCAGTTCCACTCGGAGCATAAGGAAAACGTCCAAACTGTAACTTGAAGTGTTTTTTCTAGTTCTCTCGCAAGGCTGATCGTCAGTTTCCGTGAGAATCAACAGACATGGTTTTATTTGCGGTGAAGTAATTCTACAAGTTTTGGCCGTTGTTTCATATTCTGGCTAGAACGTCGTCCAACATACGTCTTCCAGAGATATACTTCATGCTTTCTTCATAGCTTATGGGAAATATTTTTTTGACTGGTTTGCCTGTTTTAAGAACAAAGTTGAAAGTATTTGTTCTTTCTTTGGTTGGAGGATCATGCATTAAGTTATTAACCATAGCATCAACTAAAACCACTTGATAAGTATCTTTTGTATAGACTACTGAAGAATGCAGTTCCAGAATACTCCCAACAGGAACTGATTTAATAAAACTAATGTCTCCAACTAGTATGAAATGTTTGGTTGGCTTTTCTCATTTTATTTCGTTTCTTACCTTCGACAGCAATGGGACGTTGTTGAAAAGCCAAATAATTGTTCACAAAAGCTAACTCATAAGCCCTTCTCATCAAAACTCCTCCAAATGTGAAACCATACATATTTCTCTCATCTGGAAGCATAAAATGTGTTGAGCCAACTGTAACTTGACTCATGTATATTTCTTCCTCTGGTCTAACGCCTCGTTTAAACATCTTTATTTTTTTATGATTCAGACAAGTGATGATTGAAATGCAACGAGTTACTTACTTGATGTAAATGAACTTGCTCATCAATCGTGGGCACGGAAACAGTCAGATTGCGTTTTGCTCTTTCTTTTCGTAACAATTGTTTCAATGCAGCTCTTTCAAAAGAAGCCTTTTCTTCTTCATTTCGAGCACGCAAGGGAGGTACTGGAATAGACTGAGTACCTTCCAAATTACGTGCAACATAAACGAAATCAGCCTAGTCCAAGAGTTATGACAGAAAACTACAAAAGAAGCACTATTATCATTACTTCCATAATCAATTTGGTACCATCTGTTGGCATCTTTTGCTCTACAGTCAACGAAATATTCATGGATGTCTTTCCTGTGTAAGTAACCTGATCACATTATTGGTGGATATTTTTTGTTGAACCAATCAAGAACACCAAACCTTGCTATGGTATATCAAATCATAAGCTGGACTCCAGGGTTGATTATGAAGTCTGACTCCATCAACCGCAGCAGTAACACAATTTACCTTTTACAAGGCTTTTTCAAATACTATAGAAAATGATACAACTCACAACTTACGTCTTCTCTTCCTACGTGATAAAGAGCAGCCAACGCACTCACGGCATCCAGGTCTTCCAACACTCTACTCAACCTCAACAATCCAAAGGGATTTTCGTAAAGTTTCCGCAATCTTACATCCGAAGACAGTGGGATCGTTGTTTCAAATACTTTGTTTTCTTCATTTCTATTCATTCATCCAATATCATACCCATCAAGGGACGTATCAGAAAGCTTATCACTTACAAATAACGAGAAGCGATTTGAGAAAACTCCTTATAGTTGGTAGCTGCAAGAAAAGGGATTATTTGTTCTCTGTTGATGATATCGTTTAGTGTGGGTGCATCCGAAAGTACCGCTCGGAGTTGGTTGATATCCCACTTTCTATATTGAAAGAGTTGTGAACGAGAATGCAACGACTTGTCAGTTGTTGATTGAGAGCAGAATAAATGGTTGGATTTCAACATCTTTTCAGACTTTCCAGTTTTCCTTAAAGACTTTGCCATCCATGGCACCACTTGGCTTGTTGCTCTTTGCCACATCGGTTCAGATTCTTTAAAGAAATAAAATATGTTTTGGCGCACTCTTGCGATTGAGTCGACATTTTTCTTTTGTCCAACTTGTCGTATTATTGTTGTGCAAAATGGAAGGTGGATAAGACACAAAAGAACTTGTTTTCAACGGAGCCCTTTATCTAGATTATATTGTCAGACCACTAAGGTTTCTAATATTGTAAAGGCAAGTAGCTTCTTACCATCTCCCCCAGCTGACTTCTTACACCGAAACAAGAAACAATTGGCTGATGTAGAAAATTCGACGATACTTTCCATAGCAGAAACTTTTAAAAGAGGAGAGTGGAAGGCTGTCGATGTCGTCATCGAATACTTGAACCGCATTCACGAAATGGATAAGCTGTTGGGTGCATTCCTTACTGTCGACGCAGAGAGGTGAGTGTTTCTCCTTGTATCTGTCGTTACTCCGTATATTGGTTTGTAGAGCTTTACAGAAAGCACAACTGTTGGACGAAAAGTGGAAAAATGGTGAACATTTGGGACCTTTGGCTGCAGTACCCGTTGCTGTGAAAGATAATTTGTGTACAAAGGGATTGCTAACAACTGCTGGTTCCAGAATATTGGAAAATTTTATTCCTAGATATGATGCAACCACTGTTTCTCGTTTGGAAGCTGCAGTAAGTATTAGTAGAATTCATCCATCTATCGGTCGCTTTTCTGTTCTCTCGTTGAATTAGGATGCAATAGTGGTTGGAAAAACCAACATGGATGAGTTTGGAATGGGGTCATCTACCGAACTTTCAGGTTTTCACCCCAGCAAAAATCCTTGGGATCCTAGTCGAGTTTGTGGAGGTTCTTCTGGAGGTTCTGCTGCAGCAGTTGCTTCAGGAATGGCGCCTTTTGCTTTGGGTTCGGATACAGGTGGTTCTATTCGTCAACCAGCTTCCTTTTGTGGCGTCTGTGGACTCAAGCCTACCTACGGAAAAGTATCTAGATTTGGTTTGGTCGCTTTTTCTTCTTCTCTAGATACAGTGGGTCCAATGGCTTCTTCTGTAATAGAGCTTGCCACAATTTTCCAAGTATTAGCTGGTCATGATTCGATGGACAGCACTTCACTGTCAGACAAAGTACCTTGTTATACCGATATGTTGCAAGAAAAGGGAGCTTTGGATTTGAAAGGTATAACGTTGGGAGTAGTTTATGATGAAAGAATGTTGTCGTTGGAAGGTTTCCGTAATATTAATGGAACTGGTGTGGAAGATCTTATGCGTTGTTTTCAAGAGTCGATCAGAGTATTGACTCATTTGAATGTCAAAGTAGTTCCGATATCTTTGTCATTTTTAGAAGAAGCATTGGCGGCTTATTATGTGATTGCACCATCCGAAGCTTCTTCCAATTTAGCTCGATATGATGGAGTTCGTTTCGGAATCAGACAGTATGCATCTCATATATCGGAGGTATAGAGAAACTGAAATCAATTGTGTATATTCATTGCTCAGAATATTTAGTTGTATCAAAAGAGTCGAGGAATGGGGTTGGGAAGTGAAGTGAAAAGGAGAATTTTAACGGGAACTTTTGCCTTATCCACTGGATATTATGACGCTTATTATCGGAAAGCATTACAAGTAAGGCAACTTATTTCACAACAATTCGAGGTAAGCTGCATATACTTTCTTCCAAATGATTGTTGTCTATCGATTCATTGGAATGAATGACTTAGAATCTATTTCAACAGTTGGATATTATCGTTTGTCCAACCACACCTTGTGCTGCTTTCGAGTTGGGAGAGAAGATGGAAGATCCCGTGAAAATGTATATGGAAGATTTGTTAACTATTCCTGCAAGTTTAGCGGTAAGTTACTTTGAAAGTTCTTTCTTTCACATGACACATTGTTTAAGGGTTTACCTGCAGTGAGTATTCCTATGGGTTTCGATTCTGATCACATGCCATTGGGTTTACAGTTGATTGGAAATCGACAGAGAGAAGATATTTTGTTTCGAGTGGGTCATGCATTTCAATTAGCTACGAATTGGCATCGTCATCGACCTTTGATATATCGGAATTATGTTTCAACAACCGATACAACCACACATAACACATCTTTACCATCGTAATTGAGCTTGTGCTCAATGCTCATAGAAATAAAGAGAAAGATCGTGTTCCAGTCGATCGATCAGTTTTCGATATTGGTTGACAGAAATTTCAGATAAGATACCCATTTCATTTTGTACATGATAAAATTCTTCAATCACGGCAATCAAATGAAACAACACTGTTTTAGGAAGATATTGTAATAAAACCTACAAATTCAGATAAGAGAGATGATTCACTGTCTTATTACTTGTCACTTACTGTTATCCAACGACGTTCACCGTTGATCAAACATGCCAATAAAATGGATGCATAAGCCACCGTAGTTTGATGTTCTACCATCATAGGATTCGTATTCGACTCATTGGATGAAGGAATCAATCGTATATACTTTAAAAGAATTTGAAAAATAGCAGGCTCACTATAATGCTTCGTAGTTGATGGATCAGATGAAAATCGATGAACGGCAGTGATATGTAAAAACAGCGTAGCACAAGATGGATAAGAAATGAGAATATTGATTATCAGTACCAAACAAGTAACTCTCAAGTCAAAATCGGTTCTATGAGGAAAACTCTCGTTGTGAAGCAATCGGATGAGAAGAGGTAATGCTTGTTGATGGACCAATGTCCTGCACAGTTCTTGATTATTGCTTGAAAGATTGACCAAAACTCTCAAACAAGCAATGCAAATTGCTCTCTTTCGTTGTTGCTCCGCCACACTTGTATATTGTATTATGTTTTGCAATAACCAGATTGTACTCGACTGTTGTACGAAATGGTTGAGAGCTATTCGATGGTCATTGCTATCAGCTGTTGTATTAAGACAGGAAAGCTTATCCAACAGAGTAGCTACACAAAGAGATATCAGGTCCTTTACAAATTCTGGAAAGCACAAGTTGTTAGCTTTAGATAGCCATTGTATCATTTCTATACCATATTTGTTGGTTCTATGTGTTTTGGAACAAGTAACCAAAGAAATATAAAAAAAGGAAATAAAGGTGATCATCCAAATAGATAATGATAACGAGCAACCTTCTTCTGGATTGACATGATTCTTCTTCATTCTTGGATATTCAGAGAGGAGTGACTGTATCATTTTCAATAGAGTATCTTGAATGCTTTCACAGTACTCTTCCCAAGCATCAAAATCCATATTATATATCATATGAAAGAGATGAGCATCTATTTGTATATTTTCATGACTATGAATGGGAAATGATTGGATATTCTCTTGCAAACCAAGTTGACAAATATTCATTATGCAGTTCATCTTTTCTTCACCTTCTTCGTCATTGTTATGATACCAAATATAAGCAATGGCCAATAAGAGACACTTGTTCCATTTTGAATAGCTATGAAAGTTGAGGTGAGTCAACCACAAGGAAAGTTCCTTATGGGGTCCTTCATAGGAATGGACTAGAAACCGATTGTGCAATAATTGTTCGAGCAGTTGTTCACAAGTCAACCCACTTTGGGAAAGTAAACCAAGACCACTTTTCTCAACACTTTTATATCCTTCCAAAAAAGATATCTGCTTCACTAGATGAGGCTCGAAGTCTTCATCCGTCTCTGATACAGTTGACTCATTTTTGGTGTCCCAACTGGATATTCGTTGTGTGGCAAGATCAAACAGTTGACTTGACTTTCTTTCTATTGATTTGAAATAAATTGGACTAGATAACTTGTTTGGAGTTTTCCCAAAAGTAGCCATATCCTATAGTTTTCAAAAAGTCAAAAAAGTATAACCATCCAATTGGGCGCCTTTTTTCATTTCTTATGGAATGGCGTATTTTTCTCTTTTGAAAGACGACAACTGTTGAGAGAAGATCACATGTCTTCTTCTTCTTCTTTGGGAATATGCTCTTCTAGGTATTCTGGTAAACAGGCCTTGACTTATTTGAAGGACGCTTATTTAATTGACTGGTTTACTCTTGGAGTATTTGGAGTTATTTTCCCTTTCATATTGAAGACCAGTGTTCATCCTTATCGTAGACAAGTTGCTTTGGATGATCCGCAGTTTTCGCATCCCTTTCTTAAGGATATTGTCAGTACCCAAGTATGTACTTTGAGTTCTTTGTTGATTCCCTGTCTAGTTGGCGTCATAGTGGAGTGGAGATGGGTAAGAAGAACGAAGCGTTGGATTCCCGCCATTTTCAACTTGCATATTTTTATATTGGGACTATTGGAAGCAACACTTTGTACGGTAACTATCACGGAGATTCTAAAGTTAGTGGCTGGTCGTCCACGTCCTTATTTTTTAAGTGTTTGTGAACCTATCAATGGCTCTACGATAAACTGTCAAGGGAATGCAGCACAAATAGAGGAAGCTCGCAAGTCATTTCCTAGTGGCCATACTTCACTGGCTTTTGCAGCAGCTGTTTATTTGACTTTGTACTTTATAAAAATATTTTGGTTGAGTGAAGGGTTTTATCGTAATTGGCATTTGTGGTTGTTACTAGTTCCTTTATTACTTGCTAGTTTTGTAGGAGTTTCACGAACGATGGATTATCATCACCACTTTAGTGATATCGTTGCTGGTGCGTGGTTGGGAACGGTGGTTAGTGTTTTGGCATTTATAGGGCGTTTGGGTTGTAGTGAATGGAATCATCATAGACGAGAAAGTAATCATGATGAGGAGGAATATTCTATTACAGGAGATCAACAAGTATAATGTTCTTTAAAAGTAGACAATTTTCGAGGCAAATCAAACAAGAATCCTATTTCTCATAGAATAAACGATATATATATATATAAATATGTATCATACTCACCATGAATATATTCTTCTGTCCATTCACTTCCATAGAATCGAGTAAACATACCACGTGCAGGATCCTTTTCAGCACGATACTGGATATAAGCAAGATGTCTGGACTTTATGAGTTCCAAGAGTTGTTTATCTTGAATATGAACTGCATGATTGACAAACTTGAGATACAATTCGAGATATTCTTGAAAAGCATCCCATACATGTGTCTCTATCACTTCATCTTGACTAGGACGACTCCATAAGAAACAAGGTGAAAAGAAAGGCTTTGCATCTTCAGGTAAGTCACCACCCCAAGGAAGAAGAGAACTATATTTCTCATATATGGGTTGCAATTGGAGCGAATATTTGTTTTGATATTCGATGGTATGAAATAGTGGCTGCATATCCAATGCAATCAGATGACCACCAGGTAAAGTGACGAGGTCTGCACCAAAGAAAGGTAAATCATATTCTAACCGTGGAAAAATAACAAAGTTGAGTACTTGAAGTGCTTTCCCTCCTTGTACATGAGCTGCTCTTATTTGCCTCAGTTTTTCTGACTGATATGCATAACTCGTCGTCTTCACCGTACTTTGGCGACTACCTTTGCCAGTGATGGCTACTTTTTCTTCAAATCCTGCAGGAATAGGATAAGGTTGCAAAGAAATGGAACTTTGAAGAATTTCTATTGCTTTGTTGAAAAAGGGAGAATACAAGTCCTTTGTTTCTTGATGAGAGGAAGAAGGCTGTGTTGGGTGAGACGAACAGGCTATCCATTGGTAAGTATTTATGGTTCTCCGTATAGTATGATACTTGTTAGAGTGTTGACAACAAATATTCCTTTTCAGTGGAGAAAAGGAACCACCATTGAGATAACCTTGAGATTGAAAACCAGCTTTCATCATAAGAATGAAAAGAAAGAAAGATTGGGAAAAGGATGGAATGAAGAGAACGGACAAACAAACGAAGAAAACCAAATCATATCCTCGAAACAAAAAGACAACTAACCCTATGAGTAATAAAGAAATGGAAAGTGAAGAAATGACAAAAGAAGAGAAACACGTTGGATGGGAAGTGGAAGAGTTGTTTAACAAGATAAAAAAGAAAAGTCCTAGTAAGAACAACACAACCAAGAAAGCAAAAAGGAGAGAAAAGTCCATTCGTTACACAAAAGAAGGATTTCGTATTTATAGACCAGAGGAACTGAAACAAGATCAACCAGAAAACTTGAAAGGAGAATGTCCTTTTGACTGCAACTGTTGTTTCTAGGAGGCCATATGAAATAATAGGAAAAGATTGTGGAGACACACAAGTGTTTGGGGAAAATAGAGTGTGATATCGATGACTGAAAATAAAGCCAATAGCAAACGTTGGATACCTTTGGAGTCCAATCCTCAAGTCTTATCTGAATATCTACACAAGTTGGGTGTAGAAGAAAATGTTTCTCTAGTGGACGTACTTTCTCCAGACTTACTGGATCTCGTTCCTCGACCTGTATACGCCGTCATACTTTTGTATCCACTTCACAACCAACAAAGCACTAGGGAAGAAATAAAACAAGAAACTAGTGTCTATTTTTGTAAGCAAACGATAAGTAAGTTGTCAAAAGAAAGTGGACTTTGTATATATAACTATTTATAGGCAACGCTTGTGGAACAGTGGCTCTGGTTCACGCTGTATTGAATAATATTCACCGAATAAGTTGTAAGAAGAATAGCTTCTTTGACAAGTTTTATACTTCAACTGTTCACCTTTCACCTCATGAAAGAGCAACTTGTTTGGAACAGAGCGAAGAATTGGACTATCTACACTCTGAGTTTGCACAAGTAGGTCAAAGTCAGGCACCTGGCAATACTGAAGAAATAGACTTGCACTTTGTCACTTTTGTATCTCAACAAGGAAAACTAATTCAGTTGGATGGGCGTTTAGAACAACCTGTCGTCTGTGGTAACTGTGAAGAAGAGAATCTGTTGCAAGTATGTAAAGTTTCTTCCTTTGTAAGAAGAAATATTTTGAATACTTTTTAGGAAGCAACCAATGTTATCAAAGAACAGTTTATGGCAAAAGATCCCAATGAAGTTCGTTTCAATATCTTGGCACTTGTTCATAACGAATCCTAATATGGATATATCTCCAAGTTTTTCCTATTCATGAAAGAGTGATATTCCTATGAATCCTAACAAAAGTGTCTTTTTGATAAGAAATATATTATTGGATAACGACAATCCTACTCTCTCTCTCTCTCTTTCCAAAAGAAGATACTACACTTGTTGTCAGGTTGAATTCAGTAGTTGAATTCCTACTTGAAACCTTTATCAACAAGTATATTATTTTCACTCTTGGAAGATCACAACTAGTTTTGTCTCATCCAAATGGTTTATTATTCTAAGTTGCATAGAAAACAGTATATTCACAGTGATCAAAATGATACCTTCTTTCCTCTTCCCCTAAATAAGAAAAATGTTTTATTCACTTTTTTGGCTTTGTCCAATCTTTTCTAGAAACATTGGTTGATAGAAAGAGTGTCGATTCAACATTGGATTCCTATAAGAATAGCAGCTCGATGGATTGTCTTGTAGAGAAAGCATGGAATCATGAATTTCTAGATCTTACGCTTCGATTTGAAACGTCACATGAAATATGCTTTAAATAAGACATCTTCTATACAACTTTTACTTGTATATTGAGTTTTATTGTTGACAAGGAAAAAAGGAATGGGTTATCAACAAGTCGTGCAAAATTCTCTTGTAGCAAGCTTTGTAGTGCTGTTAGGCTTCTTTTGCATGGTACATGGAAAAACGTTGGCAAATGATGCCAGTTTATCTCACATGCAAAGAGGAGGATACCAAACAGTATCACCTACAGTAACTCAACAATGCCCAAAGGTAAGATGAGAGAATATAATCTTCTCATGGTGAGCGAATGACCGTTGAATAATCTCTCTAGCTGTGCGTCACAGCTACGCAGACACAAGTACAAAGTTGTATTTATACAAATATTCAAGTACCTTATATCTCGCAATGTGTGACTGTAACTCCTACAACTTGTTATAAATACGTAACCAAATATAAACAAGTCTGCTGCGAACAGGAATATCAACAACAAGACTATCAACAACAACAACAACAATGCACAGAGGTGAGTTGTGTTTGTTGATGTGTTTGCAAGTATATTGAAATCTATCTAGTATTGCCAATTATCTTATCAACAATCAGTCAGTTACCCTTGCAGCACTCAGGTATGTGTCTTCTCTGGTGATGATTTGTATGCTTTGTTATCAACCTACAAATTGTAGATTTCATATCCATGTCAAGAATATCGTCTCATGCAAGTACAGCAATGTTGTCAAATTCCAAAGGTGAAATGTGTCCAACATACTCAAGTTTGTATTCAACAAGAAGAGCAACAACAGCAACAACAGCAAGAACAAGAACAACAGGAACAAGAACAAGTGCAAGAAGAAGCTCAACAAGTACAACAAGTGGAACAACAACAACAACAACAAGAAGAATATTAAAGAAAAGAGAGAGAGAGAGAGAGAGGGAAGTTGTATACCTGCCAAGGTTGCAGGAATATGATGTTTGTAGTAATAAAAGAGCTTATGCATGACATGTAAAAAAGGGGAGTAGTTATCCAAGAAAATTTGTTACTGCTGTTTTGTAAAGTGTACTGTGGAATAGATACATATCAATAAGCGATTGAGTGTTTATCTACACATAACCATCCCTTGATATACATCTTCAAAGAGTCTCTTTTGTAAAGCTGTTGGTCCTTCAAACAAGGATGTTGATTTCTTCAAAGCATAGCCCAACTTCATAGAAACCAAGAAATACGAGTAGATTATTTCTTAGTTGTCATGTAATGGGAAAAACGCCAACTCAGTTGCAAAATAATACATGGAAGATTATGTTTCCAATATTAGAATTGCATAATAGTATGCGGATGGATACAAGGACATTTTCCAAAGTAAATCCTATTCTTTTTGGACTCTGTCATCATCTTGCTTCTTGTTTATCGACAGTTGAGATGATCATAATTTGTTCTTCTTTGTAAATTTCGTCGCTGCACTGTCTAGACATAAGGTTCTAGTTCACAACTGGATATCCTTGTAATATTGGAGCCTATGCCAGCCTTCATTGGACATCTGGTATTGTATTGTCTCATATAGAGCTTTGACTTGAAACAAGAAAATTTTAAAGCTCGAGAACGTTTTCTATTCTTTTAGCATCGAAGGAATTGCTTTCATTTATGACAATCGAAGACAAAAGAATAAATTGGGTATTTTGAGAGGAATATATTGTTTGTAGTTTGGAAAAGAGTTGGATTATACATGTTTATCAACGCTAAAATTCCATACTGAACAAGGTTCTCTTGAATTCGAGAATAAAGAAACGTGTTAGAAAAAGCATCGATGGATGGAAGCGAAAAAATTGAAATTTCTTATGACAATACATTGACAATTGACATTCTGATCATAATAAGACTATAGGTTTTATTGAGACAAGTCGATCCACTTTAAGACTCAAAGATAACTAGTTCCGTACTTGAATAGCTGAGAAAATATAGAAAGAGTTTGTAAAATGACTTTAGCAAAAAAGCCCTATGGAAGAAGAAAAATACTTGACCATTATCAAGGAATCCAAGGTTATGTACCAAGAAAAGGGACTCGAGAATATTTCACAATGTAAAGTTTTGTAAGAACTACTCTATTACTGAAAAGCAATAGAAGAAAAACAAGCAAAGATTATTTCAGTGACTCAAAACCTATGCGTTATAGAAAACGGCTGATTTCTAAACTCTGGAATGTTCTGCATCAAACATCTTCCTGCATGAAAGACATGGCTTCAGTTGCGCTACTTGGTGTTACCTGTATCTCATAGCCTATTTCGGAAGAATCGTAGTGACTTTAGCGAGTTCGATTCTCCCTTTATTATCGTTTGCCTAGGCTTTATTCTTAAAATGAGAAAATGAACAAATATCAAGGTTGATTGTGATGTCTATGGACTGTAAATAAGGAGAAACAAATGTGTAATTATCTGTAGCAACAGAATAATAGAAAATGACAAGAGGACTAAAGAAAGGAGTAGAATGGTTAGTTTAGACCTGTCTCGTCATGATATTTCAAGGGCAGATTCCGTAAGATTGAGTGTCTAAATAGTCTGACGAGTCAAAAAGTTATTCAAATTTCAACCCAAATTGCAAGTCTTGTGTTTTTTTGAACAAAGATGTAAATAGGCCAAGTCAAAGGGAATGAAAAACAACAATTAGAAATCCTATCACTAAAAGAACACAAAAAACTTGAGCAGCAAAGTAGTGAGACTAGAAACAAATGAAACAGATCATCATAAAGAAAAAGTAGAAAAACAAACCAAGAAGATAGAGAAGTACGAAATGAATAATCAGAAAAAACAAAATCAGAAAGTTGCAACAAGTTTGAAAAAGTAAAAAATACGAATAAGTGAGCAGGCTGGTAAATGAAGTACAAAAAGTGCAATAAAGGATATGGGGTTGAAGAAAGTGTCAAGTGAGTCATTTTATTTTGCCATGTGACAAACGAAGCTACTTTTTTTGAATGCACAATATTCTCAAGTTTTTGAGAACTGGTAAAGGAAAAAGAGACAGGATTGAAATCCTAGGGTTGTGTTCCTTTTGGTGACAACTGTAACATTGGCGGTTGTAGCTGCTAGTGGTTGGACTGTTTTTGGAAGGAACCTTTCTCTTTATGACAGTAAAGTGTAGAAGAGTGACATTAATCCAAAAAGCTACATAAGTTGTAAGCGCTATTATGGTGAAACTGTCGCCTTTAATGTTTCTGAAAGCCATCTGGTTAGAGTTGTCCTTGGTCAAGAATATAAGTAGAGAGGAGGGTAGCGTTAGTAGTATGTGCGAAAGGGAAACAAGGAGAGTTTGTGTATTGCCTTGTAAAAAGTGCTGCTGACCTGCCTCTTCTCTTAATTCCCTGAAGGTCGTGATAGTGTGGTAGTGGTAGTTGTCAAAATTATTGAAAAGGGGACAACGAACTATCTCAAAAACAGCTTGCAGTTGGATCCAAGACGAAATAACAACAACAAGTGTGAGTCCAAGCTCAACAAGCTATGATGTGGCTATTTAATGGACAAGGATTTGTATTTCTATCTGTTACTGTTTTCTCCGTTGTTGTAAGTGAATAGAGAATCTTCATTGCTTTATTCATTTAGAATTGTGCATTGAAATTAATAAATGGGACATCAATGAATAGTCATTGTCACAAAAGTATGGATTTGGTCTATTTTTAATAACATAAGAAAATGCTAATGTTGAAAAGACGCAAGGCATCATTTAGATACGAACAGCCTACTCTTTTACCTGACTGTCAACAGAGATTGCGTAGGATACTTATTTTGAACAGTAATAGACTATGGAGTTGCTTTACTTTTCGACCTTTAGTCTTTTTTGTACTTTTGTAAAAAACTTATGGAAGAGACAAGTATATTGGACGATATTGTTCATCTGTACACGTTGCTTTGTTATTTTGCAAGACTGAAATAAGCAAAACAGTGGATTAGATTTTTCGCGGCCTAGAGCTGCAAACTATTGTTCCTATAATTGGAAAATAAATCATTTGTCTTATGAAGTGGAATAACAAAATGAATCGCAAAATCTCATGTAAAAATATGCATGGCATTTGTTCACTATCCTTCATTTGACAATTGTCGTCGGTCATTCTGCAAAAGCTGACACTAAAAATTTCTCTTCTTTCAACTCCTTTGGTACAGCTTCAAGCTTTACTGCATCAACAAGTGGCCAACAATCTTCTATTTCCCACTCTCAAGCATAATCAATTGGAAATGGCTCTATGTAAATCGCTGACAGAGACTCCACCTCTTAACTAGATAGTTCAAGTTTATCCATTTCATCTTCAAAGGGTTTTTGCTAAAGGATAAAAAACTTCTTCGGATAGGAAAAGTTCAATAAACAATAGTTTGATTGCAGCGTCTGAAAATAATGGTACTTGTTTTCTCTCAAGTGGTTCAAACAGTTTTGATTCCATAATCAAGCGGTGTCAACTTTCAAGAATCATTTCACATTCTCCGTAAAGGGGAGATATTCCTTTTGCAGCTCAAGGCAGCACTCCTAATAGTGATGCATCACTTGCTTATGCAACAAACAGAAGGAGACAGATGAATTAGACTGCTCATTACCCAATAGAGCAAAAAGCGTCAGTAAATGATCAAAACAGCGAGTTCAAGTAGTAATAGTCGATCCATATGAATTGCACAAGGCAGTGCGAGCAACACTGACTTTCTTGCGCTTCTATCGAGAGAACTATTAAAGTATGTTCGAAAGCTGCAATCTATGAAAGCTTATGCTAACCAGTCTTTCCAAAAAATAGTAGAATCCAACGGTTGAGTGAAGGTTTCTCCATAGCTTGTCAAAAGGAGCTTCTCAAATCTTTTCAAGGGACCAACAATTGTAAAGGGTTAAGAACTGCCTTGAATCAAGCAGCACAAAGCTCATACGGTCAAGTCCAAGGCAACATAAGTCATGAAACTTCCAATAACAGTGGATTCTTTACGGCGAATGGCAACTCTAGAATAGCAGCTTCCAATAGTACTGAATCTTCTCCTGCTGTTGGTATCTTTCTAGATTCCGTTCGTTTTTCATTCTTGATTCTTACATATGGCAGCTTTTCTTGTAGACATGTACAACTTGGCATAGTCAAGCAGCTTATCTAACTCTAATTTTCAAAGGTCGAACGCCTTTGGGTTTATGAATTCGTTATTTTCCATAAAGAAACAAGTTGGAAGCGCAGTGAATAATCAAACCGACCCTTTTTAAAAAAAGAAAAAGAATGATGATAGATTTATTTGAATATTCATGCATATGTAACTTTCATGCTTCACAGCTATCGCTAAAAAATGCTTTATCAATCATATTACGAAAATGCAATGATATCTTCCATCTAAACCTATTTTAGATTGACCTAATTAATCCCTCACTACACCAACGTTTTGGATTCCACTAATAAGACTCCAACAGCAATCAAACTAACCAAACCACATTCCAAGCCAAGAATTTAGAGACTCTATAGGCTCGAGCCAAATCTGTAGGATATAAAAACGAAGCTCTAAACCATAGTTTTACTATCATATATATACACAAAATTTCTCCTTCTGGACCAAATGGAAGCAAACTAATGACACAACCAAAGCTGTCTTTTATGGGATTTGTCATGTCTATCAAACCAATTGGCTCTTGAAAAAGAATATAAAGTCCACTTTATACATAGTATTTTTCAAATGCTTCTCCATTTTGTCAATAGCTTTCTCATTCATCAAGGAATTCAAGTTTTATACCATTTTCCACACAAAGGGTTTTCTATTTCTCTACAATTCTTTCAAAAAACTTTCAGACACTGGAATGAACATAAACGTCATTGGTTGGAATACATATCTGACCACTGTTTCTAAACTTGCATTGAGTCCAAAGGCTCCAAAATCATCCAGTTCTAAACTCATTCACGGTTAAAGCAATTTGAGACAACTGAGGTTAAAAACCTGATCTTTGTCGCAGCAGAATGGCTTGTCAACTGACTTGAAGTCAAAGCCAGTCACAAACTTTAGGACTACCCAAAATACACAAGTCAGAGTCCTAACAAGAGGCATGGCCCTGAAACATCCACCAAGTCTTTTTGATGAACAATCTTCTGTTTATTTTAGAGTACAAATATAAATAAATGAACGATTGACTGTTTGTTTGTCGGTCACAACAACAACAAGGAAAATAGTAAAGGATACCAATCCAACTTCTTCTCTTTATCAACCAAGGGTTCTACCAAACCCTTAAAAAAAGTTGCATCAAGTGCGACTGCACTTGTTGCCTTTTCTTCTCGGAGCACTTTTCTCTCAGTTTTCAGTACTTTAGATGAAAAAACCAAATATGTGGAGACCATGCCACGTAAAGAGTCACTTGGTTTTTTAAACTTCCCTCCTACTATTTACAAATAACCTATTTCAACAAGAAATAAAATAATATTTAGGATAGTGCTTGGAATAACTTTGTCAAACAGTGACATGGTTCATAAGAAGTGAGGAAGAAACGCAGAGTAAAAGTCAAATGAGACTAGAAAGGGCAATAACTTCATAGATACAAAGGAAATGGAAAAATGTTCCTGTCCCTTCGTGGAGGAAGCTGAAGTTCAAAGACACGTACAAAGATTCCCTGTACAAAACACATTCCGGACACCACTGAGCATTCCCATTTTCATTTTCCCGCCTCTTGTTACCTAAACAACATGTCGAACGAGCATCGAGAGTATGATGAATGGTTTTTAGCAAGGTGTCTTGTTCACCTAAATTTACTTGACAAACTTGAAAAAGATAAGCAAGAAACTCCCAAAGTACTCTGGTTAAAACGATATGCCATATGCTTGGCCATGCAGGCAAAGATAGCAAGCTTAGAACTGTGCAGAGGCGAACGTAAAGAAAAAGAAATTCGTGAACAGTGCAATAGAATCAGGCACTTTCGTGGAAAATCCCTCACCCTGACAGAAATTGAACACAGCATTGGGACAGCAAGAGATGTAGCTGAGACAGCAAGAGAAGTAGCTGAGAAGGCAAGAGGACAGTCAAACGACTCTGAGATACGAGTGGCATTCAAGGACTTGAACGCGTTCAGAGACTTTGCAGATTACTTCTTTCCTGATGGACAACTGCCAGAATAGCTGGGTGTCAAAAAAGCTTTAGAGCTTCACCTATTTTTTATAGTGATCGCATGTAAAGAGCGAGAACTTTACGATAAAAATTTTGTAGAAAACGGGGAAGACAGGAGGATACATCTCCATGATACCCTCGGACAGATGGCGTTCCGTTGCGTCTTTGTGGATTTTTTTAAACTTGAGTACAATTCAACAAATAAGGATCATAGCAAACATGAACTCTATGACCTCCTTGGCAGAGTGAAAGATTTTAAAGAGGCTTATAAATCTCATTTTAAAGGAGATCTCGCAGACTCTGGCGACGTCCATCTAGAACGTCGAGATTTGAACCCAGTTAAATTTGCCACGTGACTGCATTAAAATACTGTGCTGTACAATTCTGCAAAAAAACTGGGCTGATGAACGATCTTCCAGATAATTTGAAATCAATTTTTTTGGAAGACATGCCTACAACTGAAGCTTTGAATGAGGTAAATATTGCTATTCGTAACTTCAGGTACCCCATAGACCTTCTACGTGCTTCGAATTCAGTCTCTGAAAATATGCATCAACATGATGAATTGATTTCAAAGATCGAAAAAATCGAAAACGCATTCGAAGAACTGAAAAAATTCATAACTGAAACGTCGTCTTCAACAGTTGATAATCCCGCAGCTTCAGAACTGCAACCAAGTAGTCCGTACGAAAATACTGACACCCAAGTTCGTAGTATTACTTGCATTCTTCCTTTCTAAGCCTATGAAGACGTCAGTGAAAGATAAGCGACATTTACCCGATAATCCTGAGTCTTCCTGAATCCTTTGAATAAAGGTCGTCAGACCGACTTTGCTTTGTTTTTTCGATCAGATTCCTACACTCCTTTTTCTTCTAAAGGAGAAGGTTCTTCATCGCCATGATTATTTGGTTCATTTTCATCTGTTGCTATCGTTCTCGTTGATTTGACGGTCTCGTAACTACTTGACCAGTCTGTACCTCACATTCTACATGAATGAAAATTTTTGTTCAAATCATGTTACGATTCCTCATATCCAATCTGTCGAGTATCATTGACAGTCATTCTGACTTTTCCTTCAAAAGAAAAGATGTAGAAAATAGAGTATGACATTTTTGTTTCTGGATTCCTTAAATGAATTCTGCTGTCTCTCACTATTGGTGGTTATTTGTTGCACTCACAACCTTAATAGGAAGCGCTCTTTTTCTCAACTTATTTCGTATCAGTACAATGTCTTTCTTGTTTATTCACTAACTATATATTTTTCTTGCAGCTCATCTTCATAGACTTTTGCTACAAAAAGAACTTAATATTCATTGATTCAACTATCGTTTAATAGCTTTTTTCATAGAAGCACTCGTTGATAGAAATAACTGACAGTCATTCCCTTTAGAGTTTTGTATCATTTAGTGAATTAGTGTACCAACTTGAAAGCTTCAGCAATTCTCCAACTGAAAGCCACTCCATATTGAAGAACTTTTACCCAACATGACTCTTATGTTGACTGAAATACGTTGTAGTTCCTAAGTTATCGGTCAAGTGATTGTTGTGGAATGACAATACTTCAAGATTCGATATGGTTTCCTTTGACTACTTAGAAACAATTCTGTTCCACTCTCAAAGTTGTCCTTTGCAATGCAATATAAATAGAACTCCTATGTAAATAGTAATTGTCTGAAATAGAAAGTTCTTATCTCAGTGTCCAAATAGGTAGAGTCACTTAAGATGTCTCTTGTACTATCGATAATTGAACAAAGTTTTTCATCTTTGCAACCGGGTTACTTTCCCTATCTAAGAATCGGTGAGTTTTCAGTCTAATTCACTAAAACAGAGTTTGGATATATAGTGTCGTGACTACTTTTGAGATAGAGTTTGAATTGCAAACCAAAATACTTTTTTTAGTAATTCTTCTTACCTGTGCTATGTTTTCTCTTGGATCCAACAAGTTTCATATTTGTAGAAGCCATTCATATGAATTCCAAGGCTAGAAATGCAGTTTGAAAAAAACTTATTAAAAACGAAAGGAATCTAAACTTTTATGGAATTTCAAGAAGCTAAAACTCTTTTTAAGACCGCAGTGCAGGTTCTCAAGTTGGATGAAGCCTCAAGTTTTTGCTGCAAGTCCCTTCGTTTGGTCTAAAACCGAGGAAAACTCTCTTTTATCTAGTCAACAGTCCAAGTGAAATGTACAAACAACCTTTTTCGTTTCAATCTTTGAAAATTATAGTAAAAAAGTTACTAGTCTTTTTTCAACAGACTAGAAAGACAACATAGCAGACACTTGAAGAATGTTTTGAGATATTCTTTCGGTAACCATTTTACTAAGTACTTGGAAAAGAAAGGATATTTTTCATTCTAGTTGTATTCGACATGTATGTATGTATAGTCTATTCATTTTGAATCATTGCTACAACTCTGCAATATTGCAAAATTGACACCAAAAATAGCCTTCAAATGAAAAGCTTTTAGTTTTGAAACATGTTCAAAGGTATCTCCGAAATATTTGAAAGATTGCACTAGTGTATTAATAGAATCATTCTCCTGCACACAAGTGCATATCATCAATATCCAATTTCTATAAGAGTCAACTCCTCCTCTTTCTTTCTCCTCTGAAATATTTGCAGACAATAGTGACTTTTGATATTGTGGATTCTGCTGAGAGAAAACTTATTTTCAAAAAAGTTCAATTCAGTCCAACTGAGTCTATTCTATCGATTCTCTTCTCGTTTTCATCATAGCATTTAAA